AGCCCGTTCGCGATCGATTCGCCACCGCCGCCACATATTTAATTACATACGTCTGCATTCTACAACGTGACCTGTCTTCAATTTTATCATGACTTCTGGTCTCGATGGGCCTTGGCATATACCCGGAGCTTAAAAAGGACTTATAGGACACCATGAGAGGACCTCATCGCCATCGCGGTGGCACGAATGAAAGGGCACTTTGGAACTTCATGCGATCGCCAGCATGGGCTATAGCAAGTTGATGGTATTGGGAACCAATCACCACTACACATTCGAACCGTGTTTCGTGTGACTTCGGAGCTGGTCGATGGTTATAGTGATGTGTGGTAGCAATTCTTTATCGCATGATAACCCACCCCCTCGTCTCTGGTGTAGGCTCCTCTTCTTGTCCACTGTGTCTCTTTCGGGAAGCGCATAGTCCAGAAAGAGACAAGTGAAATAGATTACGTTGGGGTCTGTTCTAGATTCATAACCGTAACTGTGCCTCGTCCTCGCAGTAAATATGCTGCCGACTACCTAACGTAGCGAGGCTACTAGTTTAGTTTACACGGTCCCGTAATTCAATCGAGTACATGGTGTAGTCCGAGGGGCCTCGGACTTCGTATTCTTGCTATGCGCAGAGGAGGTCTAACCAAATGTAAGTGCAAACATACCATAATCGTCACGATCGTAATCACTAACGGCTGAGGCATCCTTTGCGGCCTCACCGAGTATTTGAGGAGTCGATGGAGTGGACCGGTGATAGCAGTAGTTGGATGATTTTCAGGGTTTTGACGTTGGGTCGCCAAGAACCTGAGCCAAAGTCGAGCTACTCGAGCCGTGTTTTACTGCGACGTCGAGTTGCAGTGTCGAGGATAAAAGCGGAACCCTTATTTCTCTTACTTTTACAAGCTTTCTTGATGTCTAAAGAAGTCTAGGGTCCCTGTTTGTAAGCTGCGATCAATGTCACGGCTGTATAGTCTCTTACATAGAAAAGAAAAACTCTTCAGCCCTTGCCACGGTAGCATTCTAGCCCGTCTCTATGTACGAACACGTCGTTCTCAATTGCTTTTGTCGCTGCGTAACTAAAGAAACTTTTAGTCAATTCCTAACCTAGTGATTCATGGGTCTAGGTTAGATGCTCTCGACTTGAAATTAACAAATCGCAGTTAAGAGTTCTCCAACGTTGAAGCTTTTGATCCTTGCGGTCTGCCTGGATCTTCGGAAGATCATCCCCTTCGCTGGGACTGCGATCCACGCCGGCGTTCCTTCACATACTTCATAATTATGTGTCTTCGGCCTGTAAGGTAACATGACGACAACACGGGTGACGATCATGATCTCAGAAGATCTCGAAGTGATACGATAAGCTCCCACTAATGTTGATAATTCGATAGAGAATTTTCTGTAAATTTCTCCGGTGTGCGCCTTGGTGAAACCGTTTCATCCTGGTTTATCACCATTTTTTTCCGCCAACGGCCTTGAGCAATGAACAGTCGTCTCGAAAAAAGCACCTCCAATTGCAGCCAATAATCCTAGTTGTGTAGCATACGACCGATCTATTCAGTGGTCCTTCTGTGTTACCACGGCTTGGCCCTGCAGGTGGTTGATATGTAGTAGGGCTTGATAAGTTGTAAGTCTTCCCCGAATGTCTTGGCGGCATCTTTATATGTATAGCACGAATGTCAAGCTAACTCGATCAACTCAACGTTGTATCTTTCGGACTCCACCGGCATCCACGCGTCCACTGCCGCCGGCTGGTAGGCTAGACTGCCACATCGCCTACTGCAAGTCCGGCGTACCTGCGTTGCCGCTCCCGGACCGCCTGACCTTAGCGACGCCGCCTATAGGAAGGGATCCTTGGGGGCTCCTCACATCGGCCGTGCATTAGGCCGCTTATAATAGGACGCAAGCTGCATAGGTGCTGGCCCGTTAGCGTGGTTCCCTCTCCAGGGACGGCCCCGTTGCCCACTTTGGGAAACCTGCCCCGGGCGGGATATCGGGATCGTGAACTCTTCGCCGTCCTGGCTGATCGGACTAAGCTCGCTACGTACCGGCGGCGATCAGGTCCCACGTTTCCGCCGGCTTTCTAAAATTAAGAAGACAACGTCATCGGCTCGCGAGACCCGGTGATGTGGTCCTAGACTATTAATGGTTTCAGGGGTTTCCTTCTGCATATTGCCATCTGTGTGAACTAGATTATTGTTTAGCGTTTAACTAATTTAAGCACACGTGGTTTTTATCTGTGCGGTGGCTAGGGTGGATCGAGGTGTTAGTGTTGCCTGGGAACTAGAGCGGTCTCTTCAGGATGCTACGATGCAGCGTGCCTTTTAGAGTATCCAGAGTTGAGACTGACTAACAGTGTCAAACTCACTATAGTTGAGAAGTATTTACCTAATCAATGTAAAGAGTTAAGGCTCGACTAGTAAAGAGTTGCAATATATATTCAAAGTCATTAGAAATGTGTAGTATGGGCTCTTCTAACGATGATACTGATTCACTATTTGTCAGGATTCTAGATGAGATATCGAAAACAAGGACATGTTAAGTGTGCATACCTACCTGGGTAGCTAAGACATAGGCTCCCGTAGTTAGGTAAGAGTTCCTTGAGGAACAACGAAGTTGTTTCTATGCTGTTTGGTTCCACCTCCTGATAGTTCGACTCACTTACTCCAACTAGTTTAGGGTTCGATAAACTTATCTGTCTGGCATTTATATAGAGCCTCTGTATAACATATTATGGATAGGAAGTGTGAAAGAGAGTAAAATTTGAGTCGAATATTCGGCGTTATTTTTGGACTGTAAGTATATCGTCTCAGGGTAATTAGATGATTTACTATTCTCGGATTCATTAGCCGTAGTATGACTTGTGTATATTGCTCCACTTTCCAAAAGCCACTAAGAATCTTGAGAAGCCATCATTTAATACAACTAGCGTCTAATAGGCTTCATGATATCGCTGAAATAGAAGCTATTAGCTTAGCATGATAGATATATCAAAACCAATTCATAACGCTGATGAGTAGTTTACCGTGTCGTGACTACTTATTGTTGATTATTATCCATAGTTAGATATAAATCAACTTCCAGGCAGTTTGGAACTGGTCCCATTGTGATTCCCTAGATTAGTGGTGACATCGTTGTTATTTGTTATTGTTAGGATTACAGGATTAGGATCTAGCTATTGTTTATATATGCGTATGCAGGCAGTGACTGCCTCATTTACAATGAGTGCCTGAGTCACTGTTGCTAGGGATCCACACCATTGGGTATAATCGGCATGGTGTCACGAGGTGGAACCAAACAACATGGAAACAACTTCGTTGTTCCGCGAGGAACTCTAACCTATCTGGCGAGCCTACGGCTCGTATATACATAAATTTTCTTTGTTCTAGATGTCTCATCTAGAATCCTGACACACGGGTCTAACTCACGATGCCATAGAACTACCTAGATACCTCTTCTTCAATGTCCTCCCCTTGGGAATTACGTAAGATATGTTAATATCATATCGTGTGCGTATTTGTAGGTACTTTACTAGTAGAAAAATTGCTATTTGATCTCCGCGAAAGCTATCTATCGGACGCTAAATCTTTCCTCCTTCATCAACTTAGCTTCGGCATAGTTTTTCACCAATCCACAACAATAGCAAAAAACATATCGTCGGAACGGGCACCTTAAAATAGACCCTTAACCCCATCGCTATGGAATTATCAAGCCCTTCACGTTTCAGAGCCAAAAACGCCCTCTACAAGCTCTATAGACATAGGCTCAAGGCAATGGCTAAAGATGCCTTTTTCATTATGAGGTACAATCCAGTTTCGAAGGTGATATATGATGAGGATGAGGATGGTACACCTTGTCTTCTTATGATCTTCAAACATGAGTTTGCCTTAGCTCTTCGTGATGAATTATCGTCTCTGGAACGGCGAATCAAAAGCAGCCGGCATCTTAGTTACTTCCGTATCGATGTGACAGCACGTTCGAGAAGAAACCAAAGGGTAATCTTTGTGGAGCGTGATATCCGATATCAAGGCACGCCACCGGAAACTTCGGGCCAGTCACGAGAGTTGGAAGGAGAGCCAAATTAGAAGGCATACCTTGTTAGTAGATTGGGGAGGGAAGAGGTTGGATTACGGACATTATGAGAACAGTCATTCAAGGGATTGTTTGCCTTGTTATTCGCCACGATGCTTTAGCAGGGACCATAGTAGACTACATGTAGGAGGTTCTTAGCTCAGTATTAATATCAAGTCCTTGGTCGGGTACTCATGATTTATGAACTTTGTGAGTTTCCCCTTTATTAATTTCCTAGATCACCAAAATCCTTAAAATACAGAGCTTTTAGCTTAAAAACGTTGTATTCCCACGTGTTCTTCGTATATTCATACATTCCCCCGTCATATGAGAAGCAATCTATTCAAGATGACTGGTACATTTAAGCCTTGATATATGTTTGGTTGAAGCGATGTATTCATATGAGCAGACGTAAAGTCTTTGCTATTCTCCTTTTCGTTTCCTCTTGAATACCTAGGTACGCTATATATAATAGTAAATCTCCTTAATTTGATTTAATTCCATCGCTTATGCTTTGAATCGCTTTTTCTAAGTGCGTGAATAAGTGAATTCTGGCAAGACTTTTTCCAGCTGTCAATGGTTTACTTGGGTTGGGTTGGGTCAATTTCACTTTGTCATAATGGTGCCTGACATACCTATGATTCAGATCCAATTTTACATACAAACATCTGAAAAGCTGCATGATCTGTCTTACTTCTCTCTTCGACAAGAGTTGAATGGGGCGCTTCGTGATTCTCATTTAACATGCGTCACGAGATATGCCCCTCGTCGGTCTAAAGAAGTTTGTTGCTTGTTTACAATATTTAACTCTGTTTCCTTCGCGAGGCTTATTTTCGGGGTAATAGACTATTTAATACTGAACCTGTATATGTCCGTTGTCATATTACCTGCGCCGCCCTCGCTCTATGGTACACGCCAAGCCCAAAATAGCATCCCCCGCCGCAATGCCTTTCCCGCTGAAGAATATCTTTTACACGCCGCAGAGGCTCAAAGTTGAACAGCATGTCAAGCGTGGCTTCGGTATGCACTCGAGTCTTGTAAAGGAAGTGATGTATGACGAGGACAAAGACGACAAGACGCCCTGTCTTCTTATAGTCTTCTGGTCCTCCCGAGCCCTTTCTCTATTCGGGGAATTGGAGCAGACAAAGCACAACATAGAGAAGGACTTTTGGGGCGGACTTGACCATTTCCGTATTGATAGTAAGTAACATCTTTTGACTCGTATACCCTACTTGAGGCGCAGTAATTAAATTTTGTTTCTCTTTCTGGATTAATTATACAGTTAGAAGAGAGGTATGGTCACTAACCTCGGATCTTACAGTTGTAGCGCATATCAATATGGATTCGCGGACGTGCCTCGTAAGGCGCAGTAGCAAGTATCGCAAACCCCATCAGAAGCCTTAACGAAGGAGTATGACGGCGAGGCGGAAGTGTGAACGGGTCAGGAGAAGGGAGTACTTAAAGGGCGTCGACCGGGTAAATCTAGCACCTTTAATTGGAGCAGTTGAGTTAGGTTATTGTTCTATAGGGCTACTGCAACTACCTATAGTGCCTATGTACCTGCCTATGAGCTTATGGACATATAATTCGTTCAGTGTATTACTCATCACCTACCTGAAGTAGGCATAGGTATTAGCTTCTTCTTTGGAGGTAGTTACCTTACAAAAGGAAAGTGCATAGGTTATAGGTACCTCCTATCTGTAAGGAAGAGGAAGGAGTAGGCAAGTTTATAATGCGTTTCGGTCGCATCTTAATAACATTTTACCCGCTCCATATTCTTTCTTTCCAATTCATCATTTCTCCCCTGGCTATAGAGCGACTTTGGTAACGAATTATGGTCCTCAAACAAATAAGAGCGAGGATCTGTTACACGATGGAGCATATGCTGCGCTGCAATAATCTCAAATGTCGAAAAGAACTTGGTGATCGAGCATTAGTGACTACATGCAGTCATATTTTCTGTACCGACTGCGCTGCTCGCCTTGGTTTGACGGCACAGAGACATGAAAGTCGCAACTCGTGTCCTGCTTGCAATACCCCTTTAACTAATCCCGATGACGCTGTTATTTCAAATCTCAATCCCAGCGAAGATTACAAAACGAGTGTTCTCAGCGGCCTTAGTCCCTACGTTATTATCGAATGCGCAAGTCGGGCCCTTAGCTTCTGGGCATACCAAGCCACCCAGGAAGTGTTAGTACCGCTCTGCCTCCTATAATTCTATAGCTGCATAGGAGGTACCTAAGATAACCTCTAATATGAATCTCTAGCTTCTACCATGAAAAACTGGGCTCTGCGCTTACTGAAAAATACTCAAACCTCAGCGTTCAGCTTGACAAAGTTATCAATAGTGCAAATTTAGAAATTTCCCGCCTAGAAGGAAAGCTTTCAGGGGCGTTACTCTTATATTCTAATTACATTCGCTATTACTGACCCCTTATAGGCATGGGAATAGAGCATGAGAATCTACGTAGAAAGAATGACGAACTAGCACACGCATACAAGGAGAAGAACCGAAAGCTCCTTCAAATCCAAGAGTTGTATGACAAACTCAAGCAAAGAGCTATGCTGGGCCAGATGCAAGATGCTGCCGAAGATGCAGTTGATTCTGCACTCCACGGACAATCATTGGAAAGAGCCCAGTTTGAGAGTATTAGCCAAAATACTGCAGATTATCAAGATCACGGAACACCCTATGCGCACCATCGTCCAGCACTCCACGAGCAGCAAAGAATGCCAGCCGGATACCACCATCAGGCGATGCGACAGGACCATAACAACCCTTGGTCAAGGAATACAGGTATTAAATGTACCAAATCAAAAGAAACCCCAGGCAAAATGAGAGCGATAGCTAACATTATATAGCAAATGTCCCTATCACGCCTTCGACCCATCGCCAGCGTCTCGGTGAAACAACTGGTGTTGGTCTGTCGACTATTCCCGGTCTTGTTTCAGGCACTCCTCAAGTACATCAAGCTAATATGGGCATACGGTCATCACAAGCGGATATGCCGTCCATGAATCTTCAAACTAATGCAAGATTCCCTGCTGTTGGACTGAGCTCTGGTCTGAAAGTTAGTCACGATGAAAGTAACTCTACCGGATTTTCCGCATCATTAGCAAGACCACGAGGTAAGTTCTATTATTGAAATGGCCCTGTCGATGGGATCACATTAACTTATCAGTACTAGTAGCCCAGAGAGGAACCCCAATTTCCTCGACGTTCCATCGAACACAACCGGGTGGGCAGCAGGAAAATATTCTCCCCGGAATTCGAAATAATTTCACAAATATCTAAGCTACTTTATTCTCTAAGGCCTACAATGAGAAATATGTATTAAGGATGGAGAAAGGACTATGTGTCGACTCAAAGGCAAGGCACTAAGGGTAGAATTGGAAGGGGAAAGCTGATACATCGAACAATCCATTGTAGCTAGAGTAACACATAACTATTCGCCCTTGTTCCTTTGTTGAGAACCTCTGTTGAATTTTCCAATTCACATGAAATAACAAGAGTATTGTTCAAGTACAACACGGTCGTACTTGTGCATATATAGTTCTGAATGGACGTTCCATTATTCTTTCTATACCAGTTACTTCCACCACCCCCTGAACCCTTCAAAGAAGAATTTATTCAAAACAGATCGATAGCTACTACAGAATTATTATTTCTCATCAAACTCTATATTCCAAGTCCTATACCTCGAAATTAAATCCAACACCAACCATGTCGTCTAGATACTCCCAGCATCAGCATCACGAAAGGTCAAACAGCCTTTATGGACCATACCCTGACCTATCGTCTTCCAATGAGCCTACGCAGGCGTACGGCTCGCGCGGCGATCGGAGGAGTATAAGATCGTCTCAGTCAATGCAATACCAACAAATGGATCGAATGTTACCACGTGGGTCTCAATTCGAGGACAAGGACGTCAAAGTGACGAAGGCTTTTACCCGTTGGCTAGGAAAGCACAAAGCTAAGAATGCTACGACCACCGAGAGGCTTCGCATAAGTGAGCCCCGTGCTACATCATTACCGCAAGCTCCGTTGCGCCCTAAGCGTTCGATTAATGAGCAACCGCTACTGCCAACAGGCAGCTCTCGGATATTGCCCGAGCTTCAATCATCGAAGCCGCCTCTAAAGAATCCAACTATTCAAAAGAAAAATCTCGGTAAATATCAAGATGCACTAGGCTCCTACCCAGTCGGCGCTTGGCTCGATGATTCGGAAAAGACGCTCCCCCCTGGACAGATATTGTTGGGGTCTTCATCCGAAGATAGTGAAGACGAGGCTCCTCCACGAAATGTTAAATCTAGACTGTCATTTCGTGCTACCTCAAGCTCGACTTTCCCCGAGCCTGAACCGACACATAACATCAAGCCCAGTATGTCAGCGGATGTCAGAGCTGAGCGACGGAAAGGGCGAATATTCTTAAACAACGATCCCGCTAGAAGCCTTTATGAATTCCCTGATCCGGAAGCTTGGAGTAACGACGATGATGATGAAAGCGACGATGACGACCAATTCTGGGATGACGCTGGTTTTGATGATGGTAGCTTTGACGATGCCTGTTTTGAGGAGGCTGTTTTTGAAAGTATGGGTGAGCAATATCCCGCTGACAGTTCCATCCCAGAGATCATAATTGAAAGTCCGAGTGACGAAGAAAGTGAGTCGAAGAGACGTATGAGTTCCGAGGACATGCTGAAACCCGACGACGTCTATAAGGTTCTTTTGAAGCAGCAGACCAAGGAAACACGGTTCTTAAATGAAACCCAACGTTATCTATTACCTCTTGCTTGGTTGGTGGCAGAGGCTGAAAGGATAGATGTAAATGACTTGCCTGCGCTGGAGGGGGCTTTAAAGTCTATCATTGCGGACCGCCAGAAGCTCATTGACCTCTTCCCCCTGGCAAAGATATTGGCCAAGGATCAAAAGGTTGATGTTAACGACTTCAAAGCATTCCCTCGGATGTTGAAACATATCATAGCGGACCGCGATAATTCTAAAAGGCTAGCCGAGTACCACAGAATAGCAAGAAGAAAGCTCGAATCCAGAGTCGCGCAGTTGGAGATGGAGAGATGTGGCGAAAGCCCGGATGATGAGGAGTATATCCGGAACTGAAAGTATTCCCTTAGCAACCACCTGGGGTAATTATGGAAGATGAGTACTCTTAAAATCTTAAAAGAAAAAAAAACCAATCACCTATTAATTCTAAAAAGCAGTGGGCAGGGACCATTTGCGACTGATAGAGGTATATGGAATTTGGAGCATCTCTCTGGCCGTAAGTACTCATTAACCTAAACCCACTCTACCAATCCCCCAAGTTTATATTCACAGTCCTATTTTCAATTTTCACATATGCACATGGTTTTAATAAGCATTCAACTCCCTTTACCACTTTCATTTTTGGAGTAGTTAAGAGTCACCCACGTACAGGACTCTGTACCTACATCGACAATGATGCCATTGCCTCTAATTAATACAAGGCTACCCGGCACTACATATTAATTAACGTCTTATCATGGTCATACCGTATAAGCACGTACTTGAGAAATTTTATTCTTACCAACGAGCGGGTCGTAAGAAGCCCAGCAAGTTACCCACCATCATTTTGTTCACGACATTTTTTTTTTCATCTCTTCGTCGTCCTACGTGGGAGGTAGGGATACGAAAGCCATTCATTTTAGCACACTTTATTTCATCGAGTCGGGCAGAGACGTCCAGATACGAATGTTATAATACAGAAAGCCCATCCTCTCGATCTGGCCAGGCGGGTGGACCGGTGGACGTTACGCTCGTTACTTTCCATATGTACCTATTTAGGTATCCCCATTCATTTACGAAATTGTTTAGTTACTATTAGCACTGTTTAGTATACGCATCTTGTCACTTATTTCTTTAGTCACATAGGTGCGTCCATAGTTAATATCATAATAAAATACCTACTTCTATTTACATACTATTAAGCTACTCTTTCTGATCGTGATCATGTCTTAATTGCGTGCCGCCAACCACTAAGGAAAACCATCACTGGGCTAGGTTGTATGTAAATTTACAGAAACTTAATGTCATATGATCATTGTAGCTAATTCAGGGGTGCCCCTTAAAGGTACCCTGCTAAGTCTACCTATATGAATGTCGACTTAATATTTATAATTATCCATGATTTGGATAGCCCTTGTGAAAAGGCCGTATGTAAGCCCCTGAAATACAACGTTCAACCTAGCTCCATGGATAAAACTCATTAGGCGAGGCAATGATTGACCTCTTTTCGCCACCTCGCCATCTCAGGCACGGTATGTGCTCGCTTTCTCGTTTTTGGTTTGTCACCTTGATTCCCAATTCCGAATTGAGGAGCTTCATCGCTCTGTGAAGCTCCGGGCTCGGATTCCAAATATCCACTTCTAATAGGTCCAACTTGGCAGCCGCTTCGATGGTGTCGAGTAGGAGCCGGGCGAGTACCCGTGTCGAGGTTGCTTCGTCTTGGCCACGGGGCGGTTTGACGCGCTGGATTATGATCTTTCGATGGTGGAGATCGGAGTACCAGTATATCCACGATTCTGCGCTCTCGCAGATACTGCCTGTCACTTTTGGGGTCTTGCCGTATGACTGGTTATTCGTGTATGCTATTCGAGCTTGTAGCCAGGTGATCATGTTCGTAGTAGGTAGGACAGTCACGAGCACACTGTCTTTTGGGAGATCATATTTTTGGAAGTCATCTTTCAAACTTTCCACATCCCGCTCGCAGAGGCGGGGAATATCTTCTGTAGTTAATGGTCGCGTCTCCGGAAACTGAGCTTGCCCCTTTTGTGGAACGGATGGGGGAACTGTTAGAATAGATTCGAAAGAATCTAGAATATCCCAACCTTTGCTGACGTAGAACTAAGTCACTCTTATCAGCATGTTGAACCGCGAAGGAGCAGTTAAGATGACCTACGTCTCCTACGTCCGAGTATAGTATACTGGCCGTCGCATTCCCTGGCCCATCTAACCATTCAGCAACGCCTTTCAGTAAGACAGAGGCGAGGCCGCGACCACGGTAATTTGAATCGGTAACGACGCTACAGATGCAGTATCCCTGCTCCTGGCGTGCCACCACCGTTTCCCCGCCCGTGGCGGAACCGTCCCGGACTAGTAGATCCCTGTGCATCGTCTTGCACATGGACAACACATGTTCGGGGTTGTCGGCCAATGTGAGACACCACCATCGCCAGCCGGTGCCTCGCGCAAGAGGGTGACTTGCGAGATACTCCTCTCGCTCTAGGTAGCGTTCCGGGGTGAGTGGCTTCCCGAAGGCCGTAGAGGCGAGTTTGGCGCACCGGACTCGTTCCTCGGATGTCGTCGCCTCGGAGAAAATTACTTTCAGCGTGCCGCGGGCATTTTCGATGCTAATTGGTTGTGTCTCTGCCATTGTTGTAATTTTCATATAGTTATTTTTGTTTTTCTTATTCTTATTCTAATGTATCTACCTCTTATGAAATTATGAGGATCGATAGGCTGCTTCTCCTAACTAAACCGGAAGGCCGCCGTGGTAATGATGGCCGGTATAAGTGTCTCCGCATCTGGACCATCTGCTCTTCGCTTAGGCGCGGATCATTGATCGGCGATCCTCATTGCTGGTTCCCCTCAAGACATCGTCTTTTATATATCCGATTTCCTCTACGATTCACAGCGCGCGTTGCGCTCGTCTGCAATGGTTTCCTGCTGTACACCATCGATATTTCCTGTTGTTGTACTCGGTTAGACTAAATCTTGGGTGGATTAAAGATTTCGTATTCGTATACTCTGTAAACGGTCACAGGCAGAAAGTGCCAAGACTTAGGATCACGAATAAATAATATTTTAAAAGCTCTCAGCTTTCCGCGGGGCAGTATTCTTACTTATTCATTTGATGCAGACAGGATCGCGAGAAGAAAGAATAGTGAAATGGATGCTACGGGGAAGCAGACACTGTATACCGCGATCGCGACGCTTCTCGTAATTGGCATCGCTTGGGTATGGAAACTCAACAGCGCGTTGAAACAGACGCCACCGGAAGTGTTAGCTGTTTCCCCACGCCGCTGGACGGAGCAAGAGATCAAAGATACCTACCGACGCATTGAGGCCAACCCAATCGACTGGAGTAAACAACTCCCGCCGCAGCTGAACCGTCGTTATATTGTCACGGGCGGTTGCGGCGGAGTCGGCGGTCAAATCGTCCTACACCTGCTTGCCCGCGGCCAGTCTCCCGAGAGCATCCGAATCGTCGATTTCCAAAAACCGGTCCGACCTGATATGACAACGGGCTCTGCTGCTCTGGTTGACTTCGCACAGGCCGACATCACATCGCCACCCGCGACGTTCGCGGCATTTAATAAGCCATGGCCCAAGAGCGTTGCCCATCTTCCACTTACTGTCTTCCATACGGCTGCTATCATCCAAGCATCGGAGCGCTCGCTAAAGACTTATGAGCGCGTAAAGCGCGTCAATGTAGACGGTGTGCGAAATGTCTTAGACGCATCGAAGCAAGCCGGTGCTGACGTCTTCGTATCGACGTCGTCCGCCTCGGTCGCCTACATGCCCGTCAAGTACTGGAACAATCCATTCCGGCGCTGGCCTGAGAACTATTGGCAAGTACTCGACGACTCTGATTTTGACCGACCGTTGCGACCGCATGCGCAATTCTTCAGCAACTACGCGCACGCAAAGGCGACCGCTGAACGCCTTATCTCCGAGGCCAACAACTCCGATTTCCGCACGGGGCTCGTGCGCCCCGCGAACGGTATCTATGGTAGCAGTCACGGCGACCAGATCGTTGGGCTATGTTTGAGGGCTGGTACGTTCCCGAGTTGGACGAGGAATATTATCCAAAACTTCGTGCACGCCGGAAATGTGTCGTTGGCGCATTTACTTTTCGAGGCAGCGCTCTTGAGAGATGAGAAGGTAATGCCTAAGTGTGCCGGCCGCGCGTTTACCGTTACGGACCCTGGACCACCGCCCATGTATGAGGATGTCTACGGGTTATTACGAGCCACGGTCACGGCCAACACGGCACCTATCAAGGTCATGTACCTACAACCTGGGATCATGTTATTTCTCGCACATATCATTGAGTGGTTTGACCTAGCAAGCCGGACGCCGGTCCTCGGATGGATAGTACCGCGACCCAAGGGCGAACTAGCGAAGTTACAACCGGCCATTTTCACTGCCTGCTCGCATCTGCTAGCATCAAATGAGGGTGCGGGACGAAGCGTCGACGAGGGCGGGATCGGGTACCGACCTGTCTATAACACGATAGAGGGAATTTGTCAACAAGTTTTAGAGTGGAATATCGAGCACCAGGATTCAGCGAAACAAGGACCTCAAAGCGGCGCAGAGACTCTCGTAAAAGAGATTAAAAACGTAGGCGTGCCTACTGCTGTTGGTGCTTGAGCGTACAGCTATGTTACTCTACCACCTACAAAGCGGTGCTTCTTGATTGTCTACCTAAGTTATATATCTTTTATAGGGTATTAAACTCCTTTACCCCCAAAAGCCCTACACAGAAGAGCTTATTCGAACGTATGGATGCTACAGATTTAGCAACTGAGCAGTATTAATGATAGTACATCGTTCTAGTGAAGCTACGCTATAGTTATTTTCGAATAACTTGCATGTTTTTTTCCAACGAGTCGTTTAAAACTAGATTACAAAGCACGTCTCTAAACGATGACATTGTTCAACCCTGTTCTTGATGCTATATGTAAATAGGTAGCCGCTGAAATCTGATTTGATGGATGTTACAACAGAATAATTAATTCTAATAACTTATTGAAATCAATACCTTTCACCATCACACAAACACACAACTGCACCTTTCAAGTTATCGAAGAAATCAAGACACTATGTCGGCAAATATTGCTCCCCCCGCGGAGCCACGGCCACCACGTCTTACTTTCGGCGTTGAGATGGAATTTCTAGTTCCTTGGCTGCTCGAGGGCGGCGACGATGCCCTCGAACATATCAAAGGTCTACCTCCGGTCATTAGGATAAAGGAGGTACCAAAGGATGGAAACGTTGAGCGAGTGATTCACGGGATGATCAAGGCTCTCTTCGAGAAGCACAACCTTCCAACCAATATTAAAAGTCATACATATATGTATAAGACCGATTTTATCAAAAGCATACTTGGCAATTATAACCATTGGGGAGTTACGGACGACGTTACCGTCAACGAACCCTTCGAAGCCAAAACCTTTGATTGGATTGAAAAGTTTCGATGGGTGGGCGTCGAGGTTCAGTCTCCTGTCGAGCCAGATATTCCTGGTGCTTTCGAAGTTCTTAATTACGCTCGACAGCTTCTAACCTCGTCGTATAGGTGTCGTGTCAACCATTCCTGTGGACTTCATGTTCATGTTGGAAACGGTGGCGAGTACTTCCCTCTCGACTCTATGCGACGCATTGCTTCGCTAGTATTTGCTACGGAGCATTTGCTTACCACCCTCAATCACCCCTGGCGGGTAGCGAACTATAACTGCCGAACAATGCGGGATAGGAGTAACTTATCAAATCTGTTAGCCGGTCAAGCAATGAGCCCTGGCCCGATGCACGAAGCTGATCCCGCAAGAGATTGTATCCGGTATCTTGCCACGGAGGTCCGACACGGAGAGGAGCCGATATCCTGGAGGGAGGAGCATCGAGCGAATAAGTATGTGGATGATTTCGAGGAACATAGGAAGAAGAGTGGCTTTGAACCTTTCCAGCCAAAGCCGGATACTAAGGAGGAGGAAGCACCAAAAGAGGAAATAGGAGCAAACGAAAAGACGGCAGGGGAGAAAGAAGAGGAAAAGAAGGTAATCAAAGCGTCTGAAGATCCGTTCAGCCAGCCTATCGAGCCCAACAAGCCCGTCCGCACACGAAATATTCCAAGAATCGTAAGGCCGCGCTATACCAACGAGCAGCTCGAAGACATGACCGAAAAGTCAAGAGACTTCGGTTGCGCCGGTCTCTACTTCGAGGGCCCACGTTCCCAGCGAGCGCCAGACCCAGGCGTATTCGCAGGCGTCCAGCAGATCTACCAGAGCGCAAGCAGCTGCGAAATCGCGCACCTCATGTATCCCCGCGGCGCGTCCATGGTGAACTTCCGGCACTACGCGTGCGATTCGTTCCTGCGCCACTACCAAGGGCGCACGATCGAGTTCCGCGGAGCCGAGGGCAGTCTTAGCTCCTGGGTGGTGACCTGGGCGAAGATCTGCGTGGGCCTGGTTAAATTCGCCATTCGATCGCCGTATCACGAGTTCGCTCGCGTCCTGGAGAACTGCGATGCTTCTACGGACGAAGATGGCGCGTATGACTGCATCGACTTGCTTGATGATCTGGGACTCTACGCGGAGGCAGAGGCTGCTGAGAAGAGGATCGCGGCGAAGAAGGTGGAATGGGGTCTTGAGTACGTGGAGAAGAAGGCGGCTTGAATAATTGCTTAGTATACCGTGATTACCTTTTGCTTTCTCCTTTTCTCTTTCATTGGCATTGATCTTTAGCTAGGGAGAGTCAGGTTCCTTTATCTATGGAACATATGGCCCATTGTATGTTGGAGCTTTCATCTTAGGAAACATACTCTTTATCTAGTTGCTTTCAACATCTTGGAATGTTAGACTTAGTTTAATTTTAATAACTATCTTAAACAACATTGTAACTAATATTTTCTAAACTCTGCACGTTGTATCATATCTGTATAAGTGATGAAAAGGGGCAGTTTGTAGCTTAGACCCCTATGTATTTGCAAACTCCGAGGATACGTTAACTAGGTACCTAAGGTAGGTAGTTGATATTCTATGCTTAAACAGGCGCAAGTCCTAGCGATCATAACATTCTAACCGGTCCACATCGTCTACTATGATAGATGAAGTAATTGACTGGCACAGTGATTGTCGTCTAGTAAACGCGGTTACGGTCGATTGGCGCACCGTACGATATTCTTGGCCAATGAAGATCCTGACGTCGAAAGTATTACTCAGATCCTCAGCTGAGCAGCAAAGCCACGATCTAAATAAAAATGTCCCATGGACCCTTGCAGCGCAGCCTTAAAAGCCGAGAGAACGGCTGTGCGTCTCGATCTGGAACCTGGCCCGCAAGATCTGCTTTACTCATGCCTGTCGTTGCGCGAGAGGACGATATTGATTGGTTCATTTTTCTATAATAAAATTGACAGGGGCGATTTAAGATGACCGAATACCCCGTACTATACCTAAACTGGTCTTTTAAAGGATCACATCTGCCAAGATGAATCTCCCCATAGTCAGCGGTACAGTCAAGAGTAATGACATATCGGGTTTTGAGGCTTGGGAACGTGTCGAACCCTTGGCTCTGCCTTATGGGATCCGTCGTTTTGATATAAGGTAGGTACATAGTTCTACATATATAAACTTGTCAGTAAGCTGTAAGATTCTAATCGCATTCCATCCTCGACTTGCGGAACTCTTCAGTTAAACCGAATCTTCAGCTTTAAACAAACCTTCGTTAATTAACAAACGCGTCGGCGTACAACTCATTCAAAATGGTTTCCCAACTCACGCTCGCTTTTCTCGGTCTCGCCTCTACCGCCGCTGCGACGTACAGTCCACTGCAGCTGAGGAACTTGCACAACCTGCGCCAGGAACGTATTGTCGTCGAGGTGCGACAGGCAACTTCGGAAGGGCCCGAATTACCTACCATCACACAAAGCCCCGAGTGTATTTCCGCTTTAGCGCCGCTGGGCTCCGACGTCCCCGATGTCCCATCCGAGCTGCTGTCGTACATGGAGTCGTTCGCAGCCACGGCCGACACCAGCAATCCGACCGTCTTGTGCGAGGCCACCCAGGTACCGCAGTCGTTGTCTTCCCAATACAGCTCGTACGACCAAGCAGCGAGCAGCTGGCTCAGCAAGCACAGCAGCGACCTCCAAGTCGCTGCTACCAAGTGCGGTGATAGCGACGTCCAAGTCAGCCAGGCCGTAGCTTCTATCAGCGCTTTCCTTGGAGAGGGATGTGGTGCTGCAGCTTCAAGTGCAGGCGACGCCAGTTCTGCCATTTCTACAACCGTATCGCCGGGTCTTGCTGCCCGGCCCACTGGTATGGTTGCAGGTGCCATGGCTGCCGCCGGTGCTCTTGGCGTCGCGGTACTCCTATAGTTGGATCCTTGACTGGGATGTTGGACTACCTGAGTCTTTAATGTGGACTTGGGGAGGTATGCATAGGTATACGCTGGAGTTGAAAATGCACTCATGTATATATAAATCAGATAATGTAATACCCAAAATTCGATTCAATTCATTTACAAGTATATTTGCACACTGTGTATTGGATTAGATCTGATTAGATGATAATCCGTCCAGCACGAGTATATAGATGCGGCTCGAAGGAGAGCCGCATCTATCTCGAATCTTAAGACAGACATCATTATACAAGAAATCATTCGTATCACTGCTGCCTCGACACCCCTAATCCGTACGTACGCATAATATGGACTAGACCTTGTCTACCGACAGTATGTTATCATTTAGGTACGTAAGGTACGTAAGGTTGTGATTCCCTAGATTATATAGTAGTGACATCGTTGCTGTATTAGTTGAGATTAGGATTACAAGGATTAGGGTCTAGCTATTGTCTATTATAGATATATGCGTATAGACGCAGGCAGCAACTGCCTCATTGTATGAGTGCCTGAGTCACTGTAGCTACGGGATCTACAATGTAGGTATCCGTCTCCTACAAACGATTTCTATGTTTTGCAATTCAACAAACAACAAATTACACATCAGCAAACCTCACATCAGCAAACTTTACATCAGCAAATCTTAGTCTGGAAAATACGTCGTTTTGGGAAGATACAGCATTCGTCACCATGGCCAAGCTACTAGATTTACCCTATGAACTTTTCCAAATTATCGTGACTCGCGGCAATCTGAAAAGAAGTGATCTCGCGTCCCTTGCTCTCGTCAATAAAAAGCTCTGTTCTGTCTTCAACGGAATACTCTACAAGACCTTTGGAAGCCCGGTAGCTATTGAATTTGCCGTTAAAAATGGCATAATTGGCACTCTTGAAGCTGCTCATTCCTTCGGACTGGACATACACTACGATTACGATCGACCACTACTCCAGGCTTGCGGGGAGGGACATGTTGAAGTTATAAAATGGCTATTAAGCCATGGCTCGTCAGTCGACAACGAACTCCAACCTGGGACTTTTGTCCGGGCGTCTAATTCCCCGTTGTTCACCGCACTCCACTGTGGACGTGAAGATGCTGCCTTGTTGTTACTTAAACTTGGAGCTACTCCTAGATTCACCCTTAACTCCCTCCAGAGGTGGAAAAGTTTATTTGAGCGGTTAAATTACTATTCAGCTCTTCATATAGCGGTTGACAAGGATATGGTGCGTGTGATGGAATTTCTAATTCGCGAGCACGTACAACCCATTGACGAGGAAGGTATCAGTGGGTGTCCAACAGCCTTAGTCTCGTTGATTAAGCGGCGCGATCGTGGTCGTCATCTGAGTACATTCAAGAAGCTAATTGAGCTTGGAGCCAATGTCAACGCCCAAGATTCCAAAGATCAAGTTCCATTCATCCTTGCTCTTAAGCATGGCCAATATGTCTATGCAGAAGCACTACTTGATGCAGGCGCGATGATTAACTGGAGATCCCCGAACCCTAGAGTACCGCACCCCATTCATGCTTGCATTATGGGTTCGGGATTTGACTTCCCTGCAGCGTGCGCCATGATTTCTAGATTAATAGAAGCTGGTGTAGACCTGGAGGAGAGCTATCTAAGGGGACACACTCCCCTAGGAGAGGCTGTGGTGCAAGGGCATCACCAAATGGTATCTCATCTCTTATCATTGGGTGCTCGTGTGGATGGTCAAAATACATCCGGACGTACTCCACTGGATCTTTTCGTCCAACATAGGAGCTATGACCATGCGCAGCATCGGGAAAAAGTATGGGCACTCCTACGTGGTGGTGCTAGGATGGATACACCTTTATTTGATGGAAGGACGTTGCTGGAATGGATCATTAATGAGGATTGGATAGTTGATGAGGTTGATGATAGACCTTCTAGTGCGAAGCTACTCGAAGAACTGTTGACCGAAGCTACCGTGGCAATGCTGAATAAGGAGCATCTGCACGAACTCCTGTTTAAGTTCTTCGAACCGAGTTACTACAGAGAGTGCTTAATACTCACTAAACATGGCGCCGTTTTAAAACGCTACGACCAGGCATATTCTATTGCAAGGGACATGATATCTACTTACGAACACCGGCAGCCACGCAGCGCAAAAAGCCATCTCATATATTTCCGGATGATTGCCCATGCAGGCTTGCCAACAGAAAAGCTTGACGAGTTGATTGCTTATGCTCAAGAAGTAGGAGATGAAGAGAGCAAACGAGTCCTACTCCTTGGAAAAGATGCTTAACTTGACCTTGCCACACGGGGCGAATCTGGTTGGGTTAGGCTGTAAAATGGATGGCATGACCGTTATGGAAAAACCAAAGAAAGGGAGCACACCAACCATAACCAGATATTTAAAGAGCGAGGCGAAGGACACAAAGGGAATTAATTTTTAATTCTTTTCCCAAGTGGTGACGATACATTTTCTCTAGGCTCGCATTCTTGTAGGGGAGACGGAAATAATAAAATCATTCCGCATAAACTGGTGGAGGATTCTAATGATTGAACCAGGTGCTAAGCTTGCGGTATATTATAGTAATTTGAGAAAAAGGAAAGGCTAAGTAAAAGTACACTCCGTTACGCTTATTGCTGGCATCCAAAATAAGTACCCCTATTCCGATTTTAACAAACGGCTATGACAGATATGCAATGAATCATATATCGCTAAATAGGGGTTTCGTACCTAAGTTATTATGGCGCAGGGTGGCTGTGTACCGATACTTTTTACAAAGTACACGTCAATCCGATGTGGGATTAGGAGATGACGCCACATCTTAGGAACATTGATCATTAGTTCGAAATTCGACATCTTTCGTTGAGAGCAACGCGTCTGATCTGTCGGCTTTTTTGTCATTAAGTGGGATTAAAGCGTGTATATACAATAATACCCAGATTCGAATTGGAGTGTCGCGCGGGCCGGCTAAGTTATTTTGGTTCTACGTCACATGGCCTCTCTATTTATCTAAGGAGAAACACGCGACAATGGGTATGCGAATCGAGTCTCCAGACGGATTAGACGATATTCCTTGCTAACTTTCCTGCAGCGTCCCCGAGACCATCGCGCGACTCCCTTTCTTCTGTATCTACGACAAGTTTAGTATTCGAACGACTTAGCGAACGAGAAAAACTCAACGAGAACATTTCCGATTTGGATGACGAGGATCCATTACACGATGACTCTGAGGATGAAGCTGGGGGCTTCTTACCTCCCCTTCCCGAAAGGAGGGCCGTCGGGGTAGATAAGTCTCTAAAGAGGTTCGTCCTTATTATGGCCGGCGTATTTCTTGCTGCTTGGCTAGTTGGTCTATTCACATATTTATCGACCAAATCATATCAGCACTCTTCTCAAAAGGAGCATGATCCAACTGCTACGGCAGCTCGCGGATCTGGCAAGAAAGTCACGTTAGATCAGGTATTAGACGGTTACTGGCGGCCTCAGAGCCATGGAATAAGCTGGATCGCGGGTGCGAACGGAGAAGACGGATTGCTTTTGGAAAAAGGCGCGACTGGGAAGGATTTCCTCGTCGTCGAAGATGTTCGGAGTAAGAATGAAGACCACGCCGCAGGCGGTGGGGAAATAAAATCCGCGCAGACGCTCATGCAACAACCTTGGTTTAAGGCTGGCGATCAACAACTATCACCAGACCAGGTCTGGCCGAGCCCGGATCTAAAGAAAATACTTATCGCCACCCAGACGAAAAGCGTTTGGAGATATTCTTTTACTGGTGTATACTGGATATTCGACGTCGAATCTCAAACTGCTGAGCCCCTAAACCCTCAGGATCCCAACCTCCGAGTGCAACTTGCCCAGTGGAGTCCGAAAAGTGATGCTGTTATATATACAAGTGCGAACAACCTGTATGTACGACGGTTAGAAGGCAAGAACGTTGTGCAGATCACGAAAGATGGTGGACCAGAGTATTTTTACGGTATTCCGGATTGGGTGTACGAAGAAGAGGTCTTCGGTGATAATAGCGCGACGTGGTGGTCTGAAAAGGGAGACTTTGTGGCCTTCTTAAGAACGAACGAAACCCTAGTGCCTGAATATCCAATCCAGTTTTTTATTGATAGGCCGAGTGGTGAGGCACCTCCCGCGGGAGAAGAAAGTTACCCAGAAGTGCAACAGCTGAAATACCCCAAGGCCGGTTCGCCCAACCCATTTGTAGACCTTCTGTTCTACGATATGACCAAAGGCGATGTTTTCTCGGTCGAGATTGAGGGAGGCTTTGCCGCGGATGACTTGTTAATTACTGACATCACGTGGGCTGGAAGCAAGGTCCTTGTGAAGGAGACGAATCGTGTCAGCGACATCATGCGGGTTATTCTAATCGACGTTACTTCTCGAACGGGCAAGACTGTCAGGACGGTCGATGTGGGCAAGTTAGATGGCGGCTGGTTTGAAATATCACATGATACCACATATATCCCAGCGGACCCTTCAAACGGTAGACCTGACGACGGCTACATCGACACTGTTATTAAGGATGATAGGGATCACATGGCATACTTCAGCCCTCTGGACTCCGAAGAGCCTGTCATGTTAACATCGGGGAATTGGGAGGTCGTGGCAGCGCCTTCTGCGGTTGATCTGAAGAATAATCTGGCATATTTTGTTGCTACAAAGGAGTCCTCTATCCAGCGACACATTTATAGTGTTAAGTTTGACGGGTCTCACTTGAAAGAGATGATTGATGTCAGCAAGGAAGGTTATTATGATGTTTCCTTTTCCGCCAAAGCTGGATACGCCCTCGTCACGTATAAGGGACCAAATATACCAACGCAAAAGGTTATGAGCACCCCGGGTAACCCAGAGGTATACGAACACATTATTGAAGAGAACAAGGACTTGGCAGATAAGGCAAAGAAGCACGAGCTGCCATTGCTAGACTACGGTACCATTACTATAGATGATGTCGAGCTCAACTACCTCGAGCGCCGCCCAGCGCACTTCGATCCCAAGAAGAAATACCCCGTGCTCTTCCAACAGTACTCCGGCCCTGGCTCGCAGTCTGTTGACAAGCGTTTCGCTGTTGACTTCCAGTCGTACGTGGCTGCCAACTTGGGATACGTCGTCGTTACGGTTGATGGGCGCGGGACAGGATTCATAGGGCGGAAGGCGCGCGTGATTGTACGAGAGCACCTCGGACAAATAGAGGCTCAGGATCAGATCGCAGCAGCTAAGATCTGGGCTGAAAAGCCATATATAGATGAGTCGCGGGTTGCAATTTGGGGATGGTCATATGGTGGGTTCCAGACGCTCAAGACGCTGGAGCAAGATGCGGGCGCTACATTCAAGTACGGCATGGCGGTGGCGCCGGTAACAGACTGGCGCTTCTACGATAGTATCTACACGGAGCGGTATATGCTCACGCCGCAACAGAACGAGAAGGGCTACGATGGCACTGCCGTCAGCAACGCTACGGCCTTGGCACAGAACGTGCGCTTCCTTATCATGCATGGTGTCGCAGACGATAACGTGCACATGCAAAACACACTCACGTTGTTAGACAAGCTCGACCTGGCTGGTGTTGAAAACTACGATCTACATATGTTCCCGGACAGCAATCATGGTATTTACTTCCATAATGCGAATCGCATCGTTTACGATAGTAAGTCACCCCCCCTCTCTCATTCATACTGTTGTCTATCGAGGACATCGCACGCTAACACGGGGCAGAACTAAACAACTGGCTCATCAACGCATTCAACGGCGAATGGTTGAAGGTCACGGATGCGAAGCCCATACCTAATAAAGCGAAGAGAGACATAGAAATTGTCAAGAAGTCGGGGATCAAAGCCAGCGGCGGGCAGATACTGCCTCTGTCAGGGTTATCCAGGTTGGATTCATTATAGACTGCATTGTATGGCGGCGTCCTGGTGTACATACATCTATTCGGACTTTTATGCTTTTGCATAGAATATATCAACAAATAAATACAATATGAAGCCATATACTCATAATCAATTCTGTGGTATCTAACGGTCATAAACAACCCTTGAGCTTCCAATGTCATCGCAGTTTCAACCCCCCCTTAAAAGCTTATTGCCATCCCACATTCCAACATAACCTTCCCGTCAGCCCACGCAATTTAAAACATGCGTCGAAGTTAATTAACAAGCTGCGGAGGAACCTGTGTACTGGGATCAATTTTCTCGATAACAGCAGCGGTACCATAAGCGCAGCACTGGGCGAAACTAGCCATATCACCCGATTCGAAGCGGAGGCAGATAATAGCATTCCCACCGCGCGCCTTGGTCTCGGCCACGACTCGACTAATTGCATCGTTCCTCGCCGAGTAGAGCTTGACAATTATTAATTAATTATCATGGCGTGTAATAAGAAGGAGATAGGTTTGGTAGACGAGGTAGATAGGTTAGGTTAGGTAGGTACATACCATACTGGTGAACCAGCGCAGCTCGCCGCCGGCTATGCTCTTGATCACCATGCTCATGCTCGCGGCCCAGTTCCGCGACCGGACGGTTAGGCCGTAGACGGTGCCGAGGACTTTGACTACGCGGTACCCCGGCACGTCGAACATGGTGGTTGTGATGACGCCTTCGGTCTCGGTGAAGCAGTGCAGGTCTGAGAGTTGCGGCGGGATGTCGGCGGGGGGGTTGTAGTTGGAGTTGGAGTAGGAATTCATTGTTCTTGAATTTAGGCAGGCCTTATGGTGAATTGATTTAATTGTTGGTATATAATCGAAAATGAAGTTCTTGGACCGGTAAGGGGGTTTTGACTATAGGTCTTTGATATTGTACCCAAGGTATGTTGTAATCGAATAGCGAGAGAAAAGGGGTAATTATTAATACCTATATCTTTAATAGGTGCTTAATTCTTTGCGTTTTCAATTTTCGACTCCCAAAATTTACCGGCGATATGATTTCCTTTATATCCCTTCATCGCCCATCCATACCGTCTCGACATAGATCAGATCTTGTCATGCGCGAAAGGCCTTAGCAGAAGATACTAGCTTGTAATTGGTCAGTTCCCCTTGCGGTTTACTTAAAGCGGTCGTCGTATACATCGTATTCCGCATTGTGGATCCAACTAGGTTATATATTTCGATCGCGCCTATTAGTGAGTGTCTATTGCATGGCAGTGCCACTAAGTGCAGATTCTAATTGTAGCCAAGCCACTACTACGATAGTGCCTTGGACCGTTAGTGTCAGAGAGAACTCTTGATGTATGTAACTATGTCATACGTAGAGTGAATGTTAGAAGTAGCAGCGAAGCTGCTGTATAGTAGCCGTATAGTAATTCATACTAGCTTCATTTATACCCTGACAGAAATGGCTTGATTCTGACCTTGGTGCGGTGTAGTCCGGGGTGTGGCCTCTTGAAAGATAATTTAGTATTATAAGGCTTAGTATTGGAATTCCGGATGCTTAATCATCTTTGTAGGGGGCATTTCAATTATGAGTTTCCTCGTAAGTATATTGCATATTGAGGCTATTCGAACGCATATAATGACCCACTTTTGATAATTATTTGGTGTTTTACTCAAGTTAATGGCCTTGGCGACAGCTATTACCGCCACTAGCCGATACCAAGCCGATATATGTACCTCGCTTGCATCTTCTATTGTGTACAGTATACACCAACATTCATTTAACCTGTCATACGTGCGTACCATAGTATTTCAGACAATAGTTGTAACACTTCCAGGGGGTTACTACGGAGCATCTGAGACAAAATTTTCTTTATTGACTAATCATACTACATAGATGGGAAAGCGACTTGAGCCAATAAGAAGCGTCGAAGGCTGACTGGTCTTTGTTGAGCTGAATGAATGTAGGTAGCTACCTCTTAGTTTGATCTGATCAGAGTAAAGAGTTATTGTGTACCTGATATCTGAAAACTTTCTCTTTCCGCTTGGTCTTAGGAGGTAGAGACTAATTTCTACAATAATATTTCCAAGTCTAATTTGATACCCGCTGACTCAGGGAACTCGACTCCCAATTAAGCCCAGAAGCCCCCGGCTTTCCCTCGGGTTGCGTGCTTGAGATGGGAGTATCCGTGGCCTCTTGACCTGTGGCTTGGATCCACCTTGCGATGATAGACCGAAACTTTGACAAAAGGGTCGTCATTTGGAATCGAAACATCATGACCGTGCTAGCACGTAGATTAGGACCATGTTTGGCATTAAGGGATCTCTAGGTATAGGTAGGTGGGCATATGATACAAATAAAAGGAAAATTGCTCAGACTTACTACTTTGACTCTCCAATGAAGATTCTTCTCCAGATGCTGCGATACGTTTTCAGGATCCGTGATCGAGGGTAAGCTGTGACTACTAGTTGTCGAGGCGACATCCTGCGAGGAAGATACACGAGGGAGCAGCGCGGCGGTGATTGGTATCTGAGCCGTCGACGTTGTTCCCTCAGCAGACTTGGCCCTACAATGTCCGCATCCTGGAGCATCCGGATTTTGGTAAACCGGATTAGTGAACGTGTATACATACCCCACAAGGCTCGGGTGGGTGTAGAGTGGTTCTTTGTACTGGTTTATCTTATCTTCATCACCAATGAAGAAGTATACGGTATATGGGATGCCATCCAAAGCGAATCTAGACGATGGTTAACATGATACTAAATGCAGCCTTTTATAATTGTTTATGTTTGAAAAGCCTTACCTCTTGTACTCAACGTTGACGATGATGTCGGCCGGAGCGTCCTCTACCTCAGGAGAACTGTAGAGCTTTTTCAGCTGATTTTGGATGTCATTGAGATAAAGCTGCTTGTCGAATTTGCCCTCTGGTTTATACTTAGGGAGCCAGGGTTGAAGCTCGGGGTACGAGTAACCCCACTGCGTCCAGTCCCTAATATCGTCAGACGTAAAGTAAGTTCCCTCCGTGTCCTTATGAAAAGGAGTCAGTGGAGTCTTCGGGGTGTCGGTGGATCCTTTCTCAATAGACCAAGTGCCGTTATCTACTAGTTGTTCATCCTGCCTTTCGAACCAGTTGTCTTTGTTATCTACGTTGAGGGCTTGCCAGATAGCAAATTGTCGGTCGACATTGCTGTTTGAAGATGTATTAGTGTCGGGTCTCGCAACGATGGATTGGGAATCCTACCAGTGGTGCATGAAAAAGATCGGGTCGAACGCAGCAACTGGAACTTCCGTCATATGTCCAATGTACTTGTCTGTACCGCCGGTCCAGTTGTGAACATTGTTGTGTACAAACTCCAGGTTCAAGTATGATGCTGCCTCATTAGTCTCACTATATTTTGTTGTGGCGAATTGAGAGAACGAAGTGATGTATTGTGGTAAAAAGAGACGGTATGTCATCTCGGCCAAGGGCAGATTTTCCCCGTTATACCACTTATGGTCGTTGAGCGCCTCGGCCGCCATTTCGTTATTGACTTCTCCATTTATCCACTCGGTGGAAACATTGGGCGACTCAGATTCGAAAGGGGCCCATCTACTGGTACTTTTGGATTTGGAAAACTATGGATAGAATTGGGCGGTTAGTTTGAGATACACATAAACCAAGAACAAAGGCTTGCTTACTGGAATGGAAATCTTTTTGCCCTCTGACGTCTGATCATCCACGTCTCCGACATTATAGGAACCCATTGCTGCTCCACCTGGCATAGTGAACTTGTACATTGGGTTGTCGATTTTGACCGTGGTAGTGCCATCATTCAAGTTAATAACTTCAATCTCAGGGGCTTTGGCGATTATTGGGACATCGTAGACAACCGCGTCCCCTCGCTTCTTTTTCTCTGCCCAATCCCAATAAGGCAATCGGAAGGTAGCAGCTGCGTCACGCCAAACCTTTCGCATATTTTCGGGTAGCTTCTTGATCACTTCGTTCTCCATAACCTCATAGAGGACTTGCTACGATATAACTTAGTTATAATAACCCTCTTAGTTAGAAGGGCCGGCTCTGTGACATACCTCAAATAGGAGCATGTACGGTCGATGCCAGCAAGGGAAGAGAATGCTGTCGTGAGTGCAGTAGCCCTCATCTGGGGTTTGACTCTCGGTATTCTCATCCCATGGTTCGTAAGGGGATCCATGGATACCTAAGAAGCATAAAGTTTAGTTGTGAGGATTCCAAAGGGTGGAATTTCCGACGGGGCGATACTAACCAGCGATCTGGAAGTAGGAGAGTTTCTCTTTAGGATCCTTGTCTTCTAGAAAACGTAGGGCCCAGATGAAAAGGCTGTTCTGAAGGAGGTGCTCCTTAGTCTGTCCTGGGTACCAGCTATCAACCTCTAGGCGGAGGGGTACTGTATCAGGAGTGATGCCGGCCTTGATGCCGGTAATTACGTATTTGCCCATTTCAATCTAAATTATACGGGCGAAGAGGTGGTAACGATGAATGATAAAATAGATTTTAGGTAATTCTTAAATTAGGTAGGATACTCGAAAGATGTGGGTTTCTTTCACTTATATAGGCGGTTCAACAGTGTTAGCAACGATGATCTGTCGACTTCGTTAACCTCCTAGTTCTACCTGCTTTAAAAGCAAGGGGTGCTCATATGGTTCCTTTATAGCTGACTATCCTAATGACGGTGTATGCCGCGAAGTAGTACAAGCCTTCCTGCAGTCTGACATATTAATCACCCTCCACTGCAGTTACATACCCGGGTATATAGTGTATAAGACTCCTAGTAGCCTATGATAATTGCTTATCTCATAAGAAGCTAACATAACACCGTGCTAGTTCTCATCACAATGGAAGCTGAGCTGAGCTTCGAATAATAGAACCAAAAGAAGGGTGGTAACACAAGACGGCGTAGCTCGATGCGGGTGACTTCTACCAATTATAAAGCCAACAAAGGATTTTTACTAGAGAGTGGCGCCAAAATATACGACGAGCTCTTGCATTTTATGGGTTCAATTACGGCGGATGATCATCATATGAACACTGCATCTTTATCAACTAGTGATTATAGGTACTCAGCCCTTGGAATACAAGTATGAAGCCATGTTCTTACTCAGATACTCTAGGTCACCTGGCATGTCAGCAAATGTGTTCCGGCAGCCTTCCGGATAGTCGTCATACACAGAATTATCCAAACCCCTATCTATGGGTAGTCTAAAACTAAATGCGCCTTGGTGTAAACTAGAAACTATTGTAATCGTTATCTTCTAGGTGTTCACTTTGCCTTAGGTAACCATAGATAGATGGTGGTGTCCCAGCTTCCATTAAGGACTGACGTGTATGTGTCGCTATAGATGTATTTCAACTGATGGATGGTTCTTAAAATGCTACGTACCTACCACGTAGGTACCTGATAAGGTTATATCTGTTTCGTAATAACTTAGAACTATGGTGCTCTTCTTAACAATAATCTGTTGGCCTTCACCTAAGATTTTGGCGAATAATCTTCTGCCCATTACCTAGGTAGGTACCTATATACACATCCGAATAATAAATCCTAGGACCGTAGAAAGAAAACTCTAGTAATAGTTCCTTAACCGCGAGCGTTTATATATAGGAGGAACTTTGTAGATGAATCCAGACCATGGTAGCGTAATGTAATATGTCCGAGGACCGTAGAGGTTTTTAAGAAAATAAAAGGAGGGTGAGGGGACGCGACTCATGTTCTCCTTAGATGCCAGTGTTAGTTAGGTTCTGCTTTGTTCCATTGATAGACTATAACGGAGGCCTCCTTAAAGTATAAGGCATACTGTCAGAGGGCTATGATTTAGTAACCAGACCAACGGGAAGTTGTATAGCAACTCATTGTCTTGTCCGTTGTTAGAGCCTTAGGTACATTAGGTACGTTGATGCCTTGAAAACAATACATATAGCACTGTCAGGGTATAGTGGGTCAAGGTGCCCTCGTCAGAGGTTGAAAGGCCAGGCGTTACTAAGTTCAATACAATCACTACTTGGTCTACTACCCTGTACACTCACTCTATGCATGATTCACCTCACTAGGGCATCCAATCCTGACAAGCACAGACTTGTGAGGTTGGACTAGTACCTCACCTACCTGACCTAGGCAACCAGTGTCTCGGGTCTACGTGGGTACCTAACTTATGTTTATGCTTACAGGTATTTAAGACTGCTTGGATCCAAGTTCTTATATTCTTAAATCTTCTGCTGTAGGTCACAACAAATTCATTTACCAACAATCCCATAACATACTTCCTAAAAGACTATCAGTCATACACCGAGACCCAATCAAACGACAATGGCTCCCCTTTCCCCCGCCGCCCGTCCTGCCAGACAAACCTACTATACCTACCAAACCATGTCTCCACCTAAGCCTCGACATGTGCCAGATGAGATTCTACTGATGATCTTTTCGTATTTCAAACTACCACTTCATATCGGGTTTGTACATCCTAAGATGCCAAGAAAGGGCCTTGAGACTTTGAGAGCCCTGATTCGTTGCTCAAAACGGTTCTATCGCATTTCGACGCCTCTCCTATATGAGACAGTACACGTTCGTAATATTTCCGAACGTCACGCACTTATAAGGGCACTCTCGAGGCAACCAGAACTTGGCCGGCTCATTCATAACTTCCTAATAGTTGACGAAACTGATATTCATGGACGCCGAAACTCAATTCACGTCCAGAACATAGCAAAAGATGAGATTGAAAGCCCACAGAGGAAATTTGCCCTACCACCCGTATTAGTGGAAGGAATGTTAGAGAGCCCCAGATATGACTTGGAGGTTGCATTTCTACTTGCATTTTTATCGAACCTGAAATATCTCTTCTTAGATCTACCGACCGGGACCAGCGTATTGGAAATATTTCAATATGCCGTAGGGAAAATCAGGCCTAGGCCTAGGGGACCACTAAAAGCTCCTGTATCAGTTCGACTTCTACCAAGAGGCCACTTCTCGGAACTACGAAATATAATACTGGGCAGTCGTATACTCACGAGAGATCATTATACAAGTCGCACACCACCAAGGACATTCTCAACGCATGGCGATCATGTCGAATGGTCGCGGGAACATGACCAGAGTCAACTATTAATGTTAGCGATACTTAAGCTCCCCAATCTCATGTCGTTTTCCATTAGTCGGCTCTTTTGGAACGAACCGAAGTTATACATCCCCACGGTCAAAGGCCTGCGACACATGGACCTCGATTTGACGTGGCTAAACAGCCGATGTTTAGTACGTTTACTTTCCCGATGCCCTAAGCTCCGTAGCCTTAAACTTGTGTGTCCCAAATACGACCGCATGGCCTATAGGTACAGAGCGAATTTTCCCATTCCAGAGGAAGTGGGTAATTTTGTAAGAGATAGTGTAGATTTTTGCCTTGAGACACTCATTATTGAAATACCTATGCATCCATATCGGGCCTCATACACATATACGAGCATACTTGGACCACTTGGAAAGCTTAGAAATCCAAGGAGGCTCCATATTAATCTCAGAATAGGCGATCAATATAATTTGAACAGCCTCGATGAATGGCTGTTAGATTCGATAGAATCTATCCGTATCACCGACCAACGAGAATACCCTAGATATACTTTCTACGTACATGAGAAATTCATCCATATGATCTCGAGAGGGACAAAGCCCAACCTCCGAGAAGTACAGATTGATCATTTAAAATGGTCCCAGGTCAATGCACATTACCTTAGAAATGTTGGACGACCTGGCTGGACTGTTCGGTATGGACTACATGGATCAGTATATGCCAAACTTCGACAGCGAATAAATCCGTGGCCTGCGATACTTGAGGTGGTTTAACGCCATTAAACGGGGTAGACGAGAGCTCTATGGGTATTCCGCCTGTTTCCTGGACTTAATATGGTCATAGAAATCCATATTAGGTATATGAAGACCACCAGAACTCTCTCTATTGGGACTTTATCCAAAGGAGAGGCTGTGTAAGGTACTATTAGAGCTTGTGCCAACCAACCTTCGCTCATATGACTATTTGTCATTTTAGATGTATTTCACTACACTGAACCATAGAGTAGGCAGCAGAATGTCTTGTATTAGACTCATAAATATATGATGAGATTGCCAACTATCTGGATGCTTCATCGCCTTAATATCACCCCTCCTCCGGGGCGCTTGTATTTCATTCCACTGCCTCATTATCGCTCGGGTTCGCTGAATACGCCGTGAGTTATATATGTTGCTATTACACTAACCTCAGTCCACACCCCTTTCTTATGTCTAAGGTAGTATCACTATATACTAGCGCCTCGTGTCAGCTTTTGATCTACTCTCCTATTCTATTACGAAGTGAATATAGCGAAGCTATCAGGTAGATATGAACTCACTACATATTATCCCAACATTAGCCTGGTACGAAGGCCTAAAATTAAACTCACTCTTTATCAATGACATACGAAAGTTAGGTTGAATCACTTACATCTGGATATTGGCAACTTTCCATTCAGTTAAATGAGTCCCTAATACAGCTAAAGGTGCTACTACGTGGTACATGACGCAAGAGTCCCCATTATCCCAATTATGTCATATAATCAAGTCCGTGGAGTATTACGATGAGTACGGTGAGTAGTTAAGGGCAATGATTGCTTAGGAATTGTACCTTTCGAAGGCTCTCTTTTAGTTATTTATAAAAAGCCCGCCTCCAGGATTATCATACCAACTCTCTTAAAGGCCAGTCTAACATAAATTAGCCAACGCCAAGCAATAATATCGACAAATCATTAGGAGTCTAGGCGAAAGATGGCCAAATCTCGATCTTCGAGCTCTTCTAGCAGCAGCTCTTCCAGCAGTAATTCATCCGGTCCCCAAAAGTCTCGCACCACACAAGCAGCGAGCGATGGAGAGCATCAGAGCGCACGCAAATATTCGGCTTCTGATGTCGTAGCCCAGCTCCCGTCTCTATGGCGCTACATGCGACGCGATTCCTCGTTCGGGCCCGGCGCCAGCGAAGGGAACGGGGCAGTAGCCGAACAGAGCAGCAGCAGCGGCATTCTTCGTACGCCCTTGTTTCGAGGCCGTTGGCAGTCCACCGAATCTGTAAAGAAGGCCCCGACCTCGCGATCCCATAGTTCGGACCCCCTGTTGCGGTGCGATACCGATATGCCCGACGCTCACCAGAGTTATCTGTCAACGGTGCCACGAACTGATGAGGCAGAGTCATCGAAGACTTGCAAGAGCCGCTTACGGAACTGCTGGGGTGCTCTACTAGTGTACCTACGACTTCGAGACGCATAGCATGGTATTCTGTCTGTCTGTAAGAGGGGGGGCTTATGCGCTGACTTTTTAGCTATTAGGGGTGTTTAACGTTATGCATATTTTATGGTCGTAATTCCGATGAGGGTATTTCTGATAAATATAAATCCCATCTATTAATTAGTACGAATACTGAGGTAGTTATCAACTGAAGATCTAATATATATCAATCATCCTCTCGTAAGCTTTGAAACAACCAAAAGTTAGAAATGGCACGCAACTTATTTCGCACAGAGCATCACTGTTGGCGTGATGATAGATAATCTATATTCCGGACTGGTTACAGGGGATCGTTTTTAGCCAGGGGTTATGTTCGGTAAGATCTAGAGATCTTTCCGAATCGCGTCAATGGTTCCTCCACATTCTACCCTCAGATTATCCCCGTTTGTTATAGATTGCTCGGAGCATCATTCTCCATTTTGAGGGTGATCTACAAACCCACCGCGAACGATTGCCATGTTTAGCGTGTTAACATTTAATCTCCCGGCTCGTCGGGTTGCATCTTTTTAACAGGGGGCATAGCTAATTACGAGTCCGTATATATAAAGCCTCGACTACGCCTTTCGATTGTTCACGGGAATTGTTATCGCCTGAGTCAACGTTTTCCGCGCAGCTCGACAAGATGATATCCTTAGCCCTCTTCACCGGCCTCCTCCTCGCCTCATCGGGATCCGCCCGCCCCGCCAAGCGCGGTACGGGAGAAATTAAGTGCCCCGTGGTACTTAGCGGATTCGTGCCGGCAGACATGACGCCAACGGACTTCGACTCGTACGCAACGAGCCCTTTCAACCCCGACTACATCCGCGGCACCGAGAAGTTCTCGCAGATCCTGCAGTTTCCAGAAGTCGAGGCCTCTCGCTTCGATAACGCTAGCACAAGGGCCGTCGAGGTTACTATCAACGACAAATCCATCTTCCAGACGCAGAATGGTTTCCGCCGTGCCGGTCTCCAGATCCAGGGAGACACGAATGAAAATAGCCCCGGTACCCAGGGTGTGAAGACTTTACATTTCAGCGTCAAGCAAGACGCCGAGAGGACTTTGAACTTGACTCATGAGTACTTGGTACAGCCCCAGCCCGGGAGAAAGCAGTCCCCATTCAAAGGAAAGGGGTACATGGTTACAAGAAAATAGGGGCAATGTGACTAATTGAGACATTGAAATTCTAGAACGTCTGGCACGAGAGCGCAGACTACAGCGCCAACCAATTCAACTTCCAGAGCGGTACCATCATCGGCAAATCTGGCAGCGACAAGAACAGCTTCAAGGTTCTGAATCGCCAGAACACCCAAGTATGGTCAACCCCCATCGACGCCACCGCCTGGCAAAACTTTGCCATTACTCTCGACTTCGTGAAGAAGTAAGCCATTATCTTTCTACGATCGATTGAACTTATTAAGTTATTCGATGGCTGGTGCATGAAGACCTATACATGCTAACTTGAATTTTTCACATAGCACCCTCCAGGTCTACTACTCAAAGGACGACGAGCCCCTCGAGGCCGTCACCGAGGCGCTGCAGAACGACAACAGCGGCGGTGGCCAGTACCAGATCGGCATCCTGAAGAAGCCCACAGGTACTTCCGACGTCGTCAACTCTGGCTACCAGGAGACCGGCATCAAGGAGGGCCAAATCTATGGAGGTATTTTCCTCGAGGACAGCGCAGATGGTTGCGTTTCGCTATAAGCTCGTGCTTTAAGAATACGGAAACGAGCATAGAACTCAAGTAACTGGCTGAATAGCCTTAGATCTATCTACAAGTACATGATATAGAAATAAAACTTATGGGGATCACATATCTACGCGTACTCACTACCTAGGTCGAGAAGTGTCACATCAGAAATAAAAACGAGTAACAATCAAGCATAAAATGTTATATAAACAAGGGCTTCCAATTTTTTAACTAACTATATAAAATTCGTAAAAACATAAGTTATATATCGTGTCTGCGTTACATCATTACAGCAAGCTTTTATATACACAAATCATGCCGCCACCGATCGATCTACCATGGTATCCCAAACAACCTAAAACTCCATGATAACGTGCCTCCCATATACATGTAACATAAACACAAATTTCTTTTCAATTATCGCGTAACGCCATCATCCCCTGCTTCCGCTTCAGCAAGTGCCGTTCAACTGCCCCCGTCTCCACCGGCGACATCTGCTCGGGCGACTTAGTCAGAGCCTCGGCTACGACTAGAGAGTCGTTGGAACTCTGTCTCGACTGACTGGGTAGTTCCATTCGGTCGTCTGGTGAAGCCTCGGGGACTTGTCTTGGACCGTTTGACTGAGATATTTCCGCGACAACTGGGTCGGGGTGGAAAGGGTTTAATAGACGTAAGGGGGCCGCCAAGTCCTCCGCTTGTTGGCGCGACCATTCGGTCGCGAAGAACGAGTCGGAGGTAGGTCTGGTTCCCCTCGTGTCCTGTAGGAATAGCGATTTATCGCTGCCGCTACTTTTGCCACTTTTGCTTGATGCGTCGTTTTCAAGGATAGCTGGTGCCCTCCGCATATCTGCCAAGGACCGTTGCTGTTGCCGAAGTTTCCGCATATTGTCCTCTACCTCTGCTATGTGTTGCGGTGAGTATGCCACATAATCGCCCTTGACAGTATTTGTATTCTTGTTCTCCTCCGTAGCTAATTCGTCGTCGCTATCGGAGATCCCTAACATACTGTTTATTTCACGGCATTCCATTGCGAACGGCACGGCTGTGTTCGGCGGCTCCCAAGGGATAGTAGGGGTAGTGGGAGTCACGGGGGGTGATGTTGGTGCCGCGGACGTTGCCCTCGACGGGGGCACATATTCGGTAGATTTCTTCACCACACTATGTACTATGAAGCTAGGTTCTGGCTCAATACCCGCCCGCCGTAAGTTAAGTTGTAGGCCTTGACTCAGTCGTTGACACGCACGTTCCCTGAACGACGGCTGTTCCTGTCGCGGGTGGTCTGATATCCAAGCCCCGCGCGAGGGGCTCGGCGAACGGGTAAGCCTATTAGTAGACGTAATAGAAGGGCAACAAGAGGAACATGCCGTAGATGCAGAAGACGAAGGCCGAGTGCGTGACATGCGTCGGCCTCGACTAACCGTTGAGACAGCAGATGGAGGGCGACTAATAGATTCCGGAGCGTACATGCTACTCGGGTTGGTGTGAGGTTCTTGTATCGGTCTTGGGCTGGAATTGTCATGGTGAGCATTTTGGTAGTACCTAACTAACTGTTCAGTGATGTGTAAGGGCTGAGGGGTGGGCGGGTATACGTCGCTACCAAGCTCGCTACGGACATCATCATTCTTAGCACTTTGCCTCATGAGAGCCCCGTGGAATTCCCCTGATGATAGCCTTCTTTGACTACCGCCCTGGTTGATGGGACCATACCTGGTTTGGGCCCTTTGCCTCTGCTTTGGGGGTGTTGAATGCGGTCGATACTCGGACCGAGGAAGACGTGTATTATTGCTGATGTCTATTTCTGAGTTTCTTGAATGCAGTACATAGGCTGGCTTCCGCGGTTGCCAGACAGTAGAGCTCTCTCGTATCTCTTTATTTTCTATCCTATCATGTCTACTCGCCTTGTTCGAAGTAAGGGCGGGCGAGACAGGACGCAAGATAGCAGGACAAGCCTGGGCTTGTCTGGCCTGGGCTTGTCTGGAGTGACTTCTTTTCTTCTTCTGATATGAACCTGCCGTCTTGCGAGAGTTCTGTGTTAAAGCATCATAAGCAAGAGCCCGGTGGTATGAGAGAATTAGTAGCTCTTCGTCTACCTCATCATTCTCACGAGGCTTATGAGTGGGATCTCCGTTCGTGGTAGCCATAGTAGCTGTATCAACGGCGACGAAGAGATGCTACTAAAAGACACGGATACGAGCGGATTTAGTATGACTGATAAGAGGCTAGTGATCCAAGTCAACCCGTACTTAATATGACAGGGCGAGCATTGGAAAGGGGAGGATTACTGGTTAAATGGAGTATATTAGCTATGTTGCTATCCAGCAACTATAAGAACAACTCTGGTTGTTAAATATACTACATGGGAGAATTAACGATCGGCAATAACTGATGTTATTAACAAAGGTCAGGTCCTTGACAATAGGATTGTTTTCAGGTCTTTGGAAGAGACATTGCGGTTGTTTCCTTGAATTGGTAGGCATGTCTGTGATCTCGCGTGGGCGAACAAAGGTGAATAATCGCAGACAAAAGGACTGTGTGTAACGTGAGTGGCGATGGTCCAGATGATATCCGAGTTTTGCTAGACCAGTGATGTCCTACTTTGAGTGATTAGATCTTCAGGGTCTGTAGTTTGATACGTCGAAAGGTATCTCAGTACCCTAAATAGGTACTAGATTCTATGCTTCAAATCAAGACACCTGGATGGATGTATTACGAGAACTTTATCATCCAGTTTCTAATGGCAGAAAAGCGGGAATCTGGTCGAACTCCTACATCTATTATCTATAGGATCTCTACTATGGCAGTTATCGTAAGCTAATGTACAACATAATGTCATATCTATGAGCTAGATGCAGCCATTCTGATGTTTTTAATCGCCCCTTTCCCAACTGCTATGCAATATAATGCGACTTCTAGGGCTACGGCTTATTTTCTCAAGTAGAGAAAGTGTTTGCCGTTTACCCTGATCCAAATCCAGAAAACTATTCTCATATCCACAATATCCGTAACGCCAATGTCCTATCGAACTCCAAGCTACCGGATAATTGTGGTCGGGTCTAAGCGCGGTGCCCGTTCGAGGAACACGAATTCGCTAAACTCGTAAAGAGTATATACAACGTCACTGCGTGTATTTTTTCGAGTGTCTTCCGGCTAAGTGCTTGATTTATCTGACTTGGAAGACTACCGCGCTATTGAGCTCTCTGTCACTAATCTCTGGAGAATGAGATCTATAAGTGGCTAGGCTACATATTGGTAGGCCGGAGAGCCATCGGCCAACTCCGCTCGATCAAGGTATTCGCGGGTTATTAATGCTTCGATTCGACGCTTAATAAGCGGTATATCTGGCTTGAACCGGCTCGCCAGGACCTGGATAACCTCCGTAATGAGCTGGGAATGGCCAAGTTCCTTACGTTGCCTTGTTCGGTATGTTAGCTATATTCCCCTTTCTAGGTATTTACGTTGGACTTACTTCATTATACGAACGATAGCAGCGTCAGTAACGTACATTCTCGTCTCTTCATTTTTCTGGTCGGTCTCTTTACGTTCCTCGTCGTTTTCTACCCTATTAGCAGCATTTATCGAAGGCACCTTAATCTTGATTGCCTTGCTAGTAAACTCGCGGTTGAATGTAAATCTGTCGCCGGGTTTAGCCGCTGCCTTTGTCTGTGACTCCTTTAGGAGAACGCGATATGCTTTAATCACAGAGAGTGATGTCAACGCATTGATTAAGTCGGACTGCGGGATATTCGTTTCTTCCTGGATACGCTCAAACGATAGCCATTCGTCCTCGGCGACGTCGTTAAAAAGCATGAGCACGATCATGCCATATGTTGACACGTTGAGTTCGTAGCGACGCTCTTTGCTGAGGGGTCCAGAGGTCTTGCCAGGAATCTTTGGAAATACACATTTAATATCCGCGCTCCCTGCGCTTGCGACCCAAGTGAGAACGCGACCGTTACGGTTCAGGCTGTAGAACTTGAAGAAACTATCTTGAAGTCCCTGGATCTCACGTGGATAGATTATCTTGCCTTTGGACCCGTCTGCGAGGCCAGTGCGACCCATAATCTCTTTGGGCCAGTTGTTGCCGGCAAGGACACTGATGTTGAAATCGATATGTTTCTCGTCCACATCGCCAAGACCGCGGATATGATCTCGATAATTCTCCGTCTCCTCCTTAGAGGTACGCATATCTCTAAACATGCCCTCAAATTTCTGCGTGAAATTATTACCTAGCTCTCGCTTCATACGTGAAATCATCTCTTGCTCGACTTCTTGACTCTCGGATTTGGCATGTAACAATCGACGGGCTAGATGTTTTTGGTAATACTGCTCGAACTTATCTTTCTCGCCAAGATATCGAAGCAGAGTTATCGCCTTGTCGAGAACAGTATCAACTTCGGCCTCAGTCTTGCCCTTAATACCTCGTTTGAGATTATCGTCAATAAAAAGCGAGACATACTCTGAGCTTCTATTAAAAGCGTTGATGAAGTCGGCAAAGCTCTTCGTTAAGGTCGTTTGTAAGATGAGATCCTTTTCGAAACATGTTCTCCAGTACTCATCATACTTATCTTTGAGGACCAAGACATCATCAACCCATTTGATAGCGGCTGCTGTTTGCTGCGCTGCAGCATTCAAAGTCTTCGGTTTAGACTTTTCTGTACCATCGACCGGTTCCTCTGCATCGGCTTGTTGCGCTATGCTGAAATCGGTATTCTTGAGTGCCTTCTCTATTTCGGTGCCCTGTTCGATAACCCGGGTAGAAAGGGCGTTGCGCAAGACAACTTTTTTCGGATCGACACGCGATATGAGCTGATAAAGAATTCTAAGATCCTCGAGCCTATCGTTGTCAAGCATTGCATTGATACCACTTCCTTCCATGCCAAGGAATTCATCCATATGTTTAACAATTAATTCCCGTTCGACTACTTGCGTGATCTTCTGTAGAGATAACGGAGAAACGGTGGTCTGACATCGTTCGGCCTCTTCAGCAAGACGTCTCTGCGTATATCTAAGCCACGCGCTGGCGTCGCCCTCGCGAAGAAGCTTCTCACACTCGGCCTGGTAGAAGGCCTCGCTGCTTTCGATGTAAATGGGCTCGAAGGTAGTCACATAAAGCTGCTCATTGTCGTTTTCTTCGTCCGTTTCGAAGAGAGCCTCAAACATCGAAATACAGCTGTGAAGTAGCGCCTTATCAATAACATCGCCTTCCCTCTCCATATTGATCTGATCAATGATAGTGGCGTTAAGAATTTTGAATATGGGACAGTCAACCCCATCTTGTTTGAGGGCTGACCTGAGGATATGATCGCGGAATAAGCCGATGGTGGCGGTATAAATCGAGGGTCTGCTATGATCCTGAACATAACCGCGTTCAAGGTACATAAGGACATCGGCAATCATGTTCATCGAAAAATTGTGGTCCTCCCACGAAGCACGGATCCCCTTTATGAACTTCTCACCCATAGCACGTCGTTCCACCACGCTCGTTCCGGTGACTTCTTCGAGCGTAACGCTAATTAGGTTGCTCGTAATAAGACTTTGAATGAGAGGTATCACTTTATCCGCAAACCATTGTTCTTCGAATTCCTTGACCCTATCATAAAGCTTATGACCAGCCTTTTTAAGGACGATCTTATACGAATATCGGTAAAGTTGTTCGAAGGAAAGCTTGCCGGCATTGCGAAGATGTATATCGCGCAAAGCTTGGCGGAGCTTCTCCCAGCACTGTTCGAATTCGTCGGTGTTACTAGACTGGGTCGTAGGCTATTTAGCATAATCGTTAGCATATTACTAGATGAACTGATGTAGAAGCGAGGGGCAGAGAGAAAGGTTAGGATGATCAGGCGCAGGCAGGAAGATACGCCAAGAAGGCTTTGCGCATTACTCAAGAGACAGCACGAACCACAATAACTCGTCCAGAGGGCTAGAGACTTGAACGATACTCTCAGAACTGTATCGAGAAGAAGACTCATGTTAAAGGGAATATGGGTTCGGAAGACACGACTTACCCTTCGAGGAGGCCGAATACGGCCACCTCGCATCATAGAACCTCCTCGGCCACTAATCATTTTTCATAGTCTCGCCTCTATCAACTTCTAAGTATAAGTATGGAAAGGTTGGGACAGGTTATAATCTGTTGCTTGTTGCGCATGTGAATGTGAAATATGACAAGGATATACAAAGTAAGGCTGGATCTCGATGCAGGAATGAAGTATTAATGGAAAATGGAACATTGAATGCGATGGACTATTTATGCATCTCTGCTAAGCGAAATAACCTGAAAGAGTTCATGCTAAATTATAAAAGATGTCCGAGCAACATGGAAAATGGAAAATGGCAAATGGCACGTGGAAAAAGAAGTAAAAAGTCCAGAAAATCGCCACACGGTTACGGTTGTTAACGTTGTAAGTTGCTACCGTGTATAACGGGCAACTATAAGTTGTTTCATAGCTCCGCTTGCATTTCGGCGTTATATAAAAGAAGCTCCTTCTAGTTGCTATGGGAGGAATTGGGTTAAGTGTTCAAACACAACATGCTTTCGTGCTTTAACGCGGCACAAGACGTGGGATATCGCTTGGGTCCTACCTAAACCTTACCTAATTCCATGCCCCTCGATTTTCGGAATATCCTAGCTACCGCCTAGGCCATAATCTTATCGATAGACCCATTGGCCCTTGCATATGCCTTATCTGATTATCTAATACGGAAGTCCCCATCAAAAGTTTTGTCCATACGTGCCACCTGACAGCTTTTGATGCAGCTGTCTGGAACCTGACACCATGCGGCAGCCAAGATTAGAAATGTATACAAAATTTTAGCTTTTATAACATATCCAATTTTAGCTTTAATATACTAATGAAAACATTAAAATTGGATCTATTATAAGTAAAAAAGCTTTTTTATACTTTTATACAACTTTTATGGTTTGAGGAGAAGATTTTGAGTTATTATGTATAAGCGAAAGTAATGTACTATGGATAGTACATGCGCTCGATGGCCTACAGCTGTTGCCAAGCCCTGTCAAAGCTACCTGTCAAAAGCTAATAAGGGCTGGCCTATGTATGGACAAAACTTTTGATGGGGACTTCCGTACATGTAACTAATAAAAATCTTAGAGCACTTACATACATATTACGTAGCCAACACTCGTACGTAATTGGTTTAAATACATCCGTTAACAAAGTTCATATTTGATATTTCGCATCCATTCAAACTTCAAAGATTCAAAGATGGCTTCCAGATCAACATCCCGCCTATTATTCAATTCAGTTCTCCGCTCCCCAAGAGCTGCCTCCCCATCCGTCCTCAACCTCCGCCCCTGCATATTACAGAATTCACCAACTAGCTACCGGTTTGCCCACACCATACCCAGACCACCTACCTCGAAACCTTCAACCAAGGCATCGGACCCTAAGAAACCTCCCCCATTGAAACGTACCGAGCCTCACTATGAATTAACATTTACTTGCGTACCTTGCGGCAACCGCTCTACGCATACCATAACGAAACAGGGCTACCATCACGGATCAGTACTCATCACCTGCCCGTCTTGTCGCAATCGCCACATCATGAGCGACCACTTGAATATCTTCGGCGATCGTAAGATGACTATCGAAGATCTTATGAAAGAGAGAGGACAGCTGGTGAAAAGAGGTACTCTTGGAGAGACCGGCGATGTTGAATTCTGGGAAGATGGGACCGTAACCGACCGAAAGCAAAGGCAAAATATTGCCGACGCTAGGGACAGCATCGAAGAGGATCTCGCGCAAGATAAGAAGGACGATTCGAATGAGGCTTCGCTCTCACGAGAGGCGAGAGATCCCTCATCAAAATCTATAGACCCGACACCTACAGCCCCAGCGCCGTTAGGGAACACAGGCGCTCGTCCGTCAATAGACAGCACTCAACATACCGATCAAGTGCCATCCACACGACGCCAATAGCCGATCACAGCGCAGCCAAATAGCTTCAGCTTTTAAACTAAGTTGCCACCATAGATAACGCCCTATGACGTCGAACTCTAAGGGAATCGCGAAATAAGTGTATAAAATATGCATCACCTTGCCCGGCGCCGATACTAGTGCGGGTGGAAATTAGCGAATAACCAAAGCGCGGTACTTCCCCATTACTATCCCCGTATAACTCGAGCGCAATCGGCTCAATGAACGGAACGCTAGCCATCATTAGCGATGCGCTACCGAATTTGCGCAATGGTCTCCAAAGTCATTTTCATCGCACGCGGCATCATCGAGGCCATCTGAAGCCAGGAACGCATATTCCTACCCCATCGGGGTCGACCTTTGGGGCGAATGATTTAAAGACAAGCTCTTACTCGTCGAGCTTAGCCCATAACTATATCGAGTTGCGAACGCATCTTCTCATGTTAGGGGTCGTTCTAGGCCGGAAACCAGAGGAGCGCTGACGAATCTTGAATGCTATTATGAGCGGGGTCATAGTACTTCAAAACGGCTAGACGCCTTATGTAGAAGACCTACATATAAAGAATTTGTCGCGCTATTGTGGAACGGTCATCAGCCGATGTCAAAGTCGGGATTCGAGGAACAAGGTTGTTAACAATATGAAGTGTCGTACATTCGCTCGGCCTTCCATATACACACCCTACTCATGTATTATATATACTGACAGATGTTCTATCTGTCCGACGTACAAAATGTAATAGAATAAAATCTGTTACCAAATAACCTTTTAGTGGTATAGCGGTTTATTCGACATATACTGTATCCCCTCTACTATACCCATTGTCAGAATTTTTTGATACTAGTACACTACCTATTACCTTCTTCATGGTGAAGTAGCAGCGCGCTACGAGCCCCGCTAGATCAAAGGGGCTATTCTACCTTGTAGGAAAGGAAAATGGAGGTTTGCTTGTTCAAGTGCCAACTTTAGAAATAGACCTATAGAGACCCCACGGCATCCATGATGAAAGAACGGTTAATAAGAATTCATATCACATTACTTCATATGCGATATTAAATTGAATTATCCCATTTCCCTATTTTAATCGTGCCATACTAACACCAGCCACGCTTTAAGCGTAGCAAATAAACATACATCACCCAACAGCCCCCCCTTAATACTCTCTCCGACGATTCCTATTCTCCAACCCTCTCTCCTTCTTGCGCTTGACCTTCTTCTCCAGACGGCCCTTCTTCCACTGGCCGAAGCGCTCAGGCTGCGTCACGGCCTCAATCTTCCTCTTCTTCGACCTGCTCTCGCGACGGCTTCTAGCGCGATCCCGCACGGCCAACAGCTCCTTCGTGTACTCGGCAGTACCGAACTTCTTCTGTAGAACCTCCATCGTCTCCTCTGCCTTCGTCTTCAGCCCCTCGTATCGCGTTTTAAAGACCTCGTTAAGCGAGAACGGTGTTGGGATCGAGGGGTCCGTGAGGTGATGTAGTGGCGTGAGTAGGATGTTGAGCGAGGGTCGCAGGGATGTTTCAAGCAGCGTCGAAGTCAGGATGGATATTATATCCAATGCCGCGACTTTAGGGATAAGAGCATCGGCTTTAGGCGGCGTCTCTTCAACGAGAATTTCAGACAGCCAGACAAATAATGTATGGAGAGTGATGCTATAATCCTTCTCTTTTTCGCCATCATCAATTCCACCCCACTCATCTTCACTGTCTTCAGAGCCGTCTGCATCATTGTCGGAAGATTCAGAATCTACCGAACCGATATCTAAGAATTTGCTCAGCATCAGAATGACACGGCTAACTTCCGCAGCTAGAGCTTCGTCCAGCTCCACTGAGGTCTCAATGAGAGTTTTCCCATCGCTATCACCAAAAGATGTTGAACTGTTCTTCTTTTGCAATCTCCTTTTCCATCTCCTTAAAGTTGCTGGGCTTAGGATGCCTACGGCATAGAGCGTCAGTTGTCCCACCATATGCGGTTGTAATCGGAGACCGTGCGATCCAAGAATAGCCTGGTTATTGACAGCGTTCTTATTATTGTCGTAGAAATCAGTTAGGTATATCCGTAGTAGCCGCACGCTTGAGACTTTAACAGTGGGGTCCGGATATGAGAGGGGATTTAAGATAGACTGCCACAGCCTCTCGTGTGCCAATGTTACCGCCGGGTGCTTCTCTATAAGGATCGGTATTGTTCGCAGAATCGTATTAATCAAATCGGAATCATTTGCAAAAGTTGAATAGTCGCCCAAAACATTAGCTGACGTCTCGAGCAAGAGGTCCAAATCTTTACGATCTCTAGATGCAGGTTCCCTGCCTTCGAAATATAACGTAAACGCTTGGACCGCCAATTGCAAGACTGAAGAGTTGTCAACCTGCTCTATCCATGACCGCATGAGCGACAGAAATTTCGACGTTCGCTCTTTATCTGCTTTTCGAAAGACCTCTTTAAGCAATTCGCCAGCTGCGAAGCGACACTTTTCGCTATCGTCATTGACCAAGACGAAAACTAGAGGGATGAAACAAGTCGTTGCAATTTCTTGCACGAAGTCATCGGCGGATTTCATCAATAAGAGATGAACAATTTCCATGACAGAGAGACGACCACCTTCCCTCTCATATTTCAGATTTGCCACGATAAAGCTAAGCTGCTTAGCCCATCTGTTCTTCTTCTGAGGGTAGTCACGAAGGAACTGGAAGAATGCGCCCCGAGCTAAGTCTCGTGTGTCTTTGTCGTCATTCGTGATCATGATACCTCCGACATAGTCCAAGGTATCATATACAGTAGCAGTCTCAACTTTCCGGTCAAGAACTGATCGCAGGAAGTTAAATGTTACGTGACGGTAGAGAGGTTCTGTTAGGTCATCCTTGACTTTCCCGAGGAGCATATCAACGGCCGCGTCTTTGATAGCAACATCACGGCGGTCTCTAATAATGACCGACATGAGTTTAAGCGCACTTTGTGCGAGATCTGTTGCAGTCGAAGTAGATGCCGAGATGCATTTCAAGGCCTCTTTCGAAGCTACTTTATAGAGCTTTGTAGAATCGTCGGTCTTAAACGGAACCTTGACAAGAACCGTCAAGAGTTTGAAAGTCGCTATCTTAACTTCTTCTTCGCCCCCAACGAGAGCATCACCCAATATTGGTATAAATCCTGTGATATTGGCCGCGTTACGAATATCATCGTACTTTTTTAGTATAGACCGCAGAACATCAACGGCAAATCTAACCAGTTTGTATGTATACTTGCTGGTTGTACTGCGATCGCCACTTTTGTTGGCACCTCTCTGGACAAGATAACGCCTAAGTTTCGGGTCAAGTCTTGATTCTGAGCGCGGCTTTTCGCTTTCATATACCTGCTGAATGACCTCATAACAAAACACCAAGGTATCCCGGCTATTAGCAGCAGAATTGCCCAGCAAGCCAGAAGTTATCCTCGACAATAAGTCGTCAATTTTTCGTACCATACGGAGGTTGAGTTTCTCGAGTAATAGAGACTGAAGGGGCCGAACAAGGTCGACTAGGTGGTTAATAGAAGCAGTTCGTGCAATAAGTTCCATCGAATCCTGGCTCTTGCTGCTCTTGATCTCTTTCATTTGACTGACATATTCTTCTGCGTCTTTCTCTTGCCCTACGACGCCAAATATGTCGTCCATTATGACGCTAACAATTTTATCGAGGCAATAATCAAGATCTCCCGCCCGGAACTGAGGTGTGACATGAACCAGGATAGTATGCATTGTATATGACAGGACGTGTAGTTGATATCCGTTCGTCAGAGCACCTCTAAGCTCGTTGAGCACAAACCCAAAGTAAGGCGGCCCCAGAAGCGAGGTCATGGTCGCGAGTGTACTTCGTGCCATCTCTCTTGAATCCCAAGCCTTGCTGCGCAGGATATGACAAATATCCGTAAGCACTCCGGGCAGCTTTTGGTTAAGCGACTCGCTTGGTAACACTTTCAAAATCTTTACAATGATGATGCCAACGGGAACACGCGAACTAACCGTAGTTTCATCTTTTTCGTGAATGTACTCCAGGAGAGGTGGTAGGATATTGGTCAAGATGTCTTCGTTCAGCTTCTCGCACGCCGGCATTGTGCTTGCCAATTTACATTTCCTCGGCGGCTCTACGGCAGCCATGGAATCAACTTCCATCGTATCTTGATATTTTTCCGCCGCCACCATTGCGAGGGTGTCCACGAACTTACCGAGAAGCCTGATCAACTGTTTCTGGACTTCCGGTTTCGAGTCGATGTAGCTAATATATCTGCGGAGGACGACACGATACTGTGGCCATTCCAGAGACGAGGCTATATCAGCAATTGTTGTTGCAGCCTGAGCTCCTACGCCGTGGTCGTCACTCCCCTCCTCTCGGTCGAAGATAAAATGTTCGAGGAGAGGTACGAAGAAGTGATTTAAGTGTTTGCTATTCAAAGACGTATGTAGGCTAGCCTTGGTTAATAGCTGCAGTGCTCGCATCTGACGTGCTGCTGCAGGACTGAGAATGTTGTTAAAGAAGCTTGGATCCGGGTCACCCTCGTCTGGCTCGGGGTTGATTGCCACAAGGTCGGCAATTGGGGGCCAATTAGGCATCCGGGATACTAAAACTCCAAATACCTTCACAGTCTCTCTTCTCACAGTCTCCGATGATTCCCGCGCGTTGGAGTACAGAGATGGCATCAAGATATTTGACAACATATCATAGAATTTAGCCTGCTCTTCACCCTTCGAGCACGCAACGGTTTCTATAAATTTGCATAGGCCATCAGCAGAGTTCGCAGACAGAATCCCATACTCCTCGTCGTGCTTGATATAAAATGTCATGTTATATATTAACGGCTCCCAGTCTCGTGGCGTGTAGGGTATATCTCTTTCGCGCAGAATAGCATTAAAAGCTGCCAGTCGTTTTTCGTAATCTGGTTCATCGATACGGCTGCTGTCGTAAGAATTCAAATCCGCACAAAGTGAAGATAATTCAAGGCATAACGGGTCGTCTGGGTATAATACTGCCAAGACACTTGACAATGATTGTCGGTTGACACGATCCTTGAAGAACCCAAAGAGAGATGCTATTGTTGAATAGATCTGGTCTTTCAATTCCATGCGAAGATCTGCTCCTGCGAGCTTGATAAATTTTTCCAACATTGCAAGGACGAGTCCCTTGGCTTTAGGATTAACACGTCGTGAGGGTTGATTGAGAAGAGAGACTGAAATGCCAATGAGATCTGTGACATGAGCCGATTTCTGAATAACTGGAGATAACTCTACCACACACTCAACACATGCCATGAGTAGATCCCGGCTCACTTCCCCTTTAGATGTCAAGGCCACACCGATACTTTCTAATATGACGTTAACATTAGGATCTAGGAGTTCTTCTTGTATCAGCTCATTGAATTCGGATTCCACAGCCGGTTGCTGAGAAATTCCGACCAGACTGCGTACGATGCTCAATGCAAAAATCTTGACCTCGTCCTTGGTTTTCTCGAGTTTGAGACATTCCATTAACTTGCTAATGATGCGTTTGTCAATGGAGAGAAACAAAGCCGTCTTCGGAAGTTGTGATAATGTCGCAAGGAATTGGAGGGTTCCAGATACACCTTGAGTTGTTTCCGTTGGAAGCTTCTCCAGGCGCGGGCTTACAACCTCTCTAATAAACAAATCCTTATAAGGTGTCCAATCGAAACTAGGGGCATTCCGAAGTAACGCAATCAAACATTTGAGGGATGTGCTCCTGACAACTCGGAGAAGTGAACTTTGTGTGGGCAGATCTTCTTCCATGTCTTCGTTATCCTGGCTTAACCTTCGCGAGGAGAGTATAAGGCAATAGAGTACTGCATTGAGGATCTTATCGGCAAAGGAGATAGCACCAGTGCCCATCTCGTTGATTATGGCTTCCATCATATTGAGAAATCCAACCTGCTTTCGCACAGTCAATAATTCACCATCAAAGATGTTTTCGCGCAGCTGAGTATCCTCGAGAACCCTAATCCCACGAAGATCACCAAGGGCAATATCAAGGAATTCACCCATGTCTTCAATACTTAGTTGTCTTAAAACAGCCAGTCTAGTAGCGTGAAGACCATGACGTCCACTTGCAGCTCCCTTCTTTGAAATGGACCTTCCATAGAGAAGTCTGAGTAGTACAGGCATGAGCTCGGAGCGGTGTTCTGGTTGAATCTGCTGTTCGCCTTGAAACAACACAGTCAGCTCGTTTTTAAACCTGGCTTCATCAAGAAGATATTCTAAATTTTCTTGGTAGGGCTTAATTCCCTCCTGCTTCCAGGTCAAGATAGCTTTGAGAGCAGACTTCTGGACTTCTACGTCGCCATTGGCAAGTAGACCGAGAAGCACATCATAAACCTGTTGGCTTTGGTACAACACCTTGGGGTTTGCGAATTGACCAAATACGCCCAGAAGAGCTTTCTTGTCAAAGAGGGACCAGGATCCGCCAGAAAGCTGTTCAGATGATTCGATCTCGTTGTCGTCTTTCTCCTCGATATTTCTGGTCCAGGATAGTAAGTAAGGAACTAATTTACGAGACCTTTTCTCTACTATACTAGGCGCAGCTGAGAAGACTTTGAGTGCTTGAGACCTTGCGTCAGGTGGAATGGCGGACACTAAACTCTGGCTAACTTCGAAATTTTCTGACATGATTTCAGAATAGCATTTTAATACACGTTCCGCCTCTTCGGCTTTTCTGCGCAAACTGGACAGGTTCCAGCATTCAAAATCTGTGGGGCCAGTATTTGGTGAAGCTATAGCTTCCTTCTGCGAACCGTCCCATCGCTTGGATGGGGATTCTATCCAGTCGAATGCAATATCACATATAACTTCTTCGCCAGATTTTACTTCGCTAATCTGCTGCAATGCTTCCACCGCAGAATCCCAAATTGGAGTCAACTGTACTGTCATCTGTCCAAAGAGAAATTTTGGGATTGCTTGTCGGAGCCACGAGCCCTCGCTAAGCTGGGGATAGGTTGCTGCCAGCTTCCGTATGTGAACAGAAATAAGACGAACATTTTGAAATTCTAGCGGCGTTTGTTCTGTCTGGATCATGGTTGCCAAAGAGTCCAGCTCGTCTGAAGCCGCGTCAAGACGGCTAAGCAACTGCAAAGACGCTAACCGATGTTGATGCGATGGGCTAGATAGGTTTTCAATGAGACTTTTCATGTAAGGGTCCTCATCACTTTCGCTATTGGAACTACTCTCACTTTGAGATAGCGGGCTCTTCTTGTGGTTAAGTTGGTCCTCGTAAGTAATCATTGCTTCTAGGAATCCGGTGAGTCGCCGGTACCGGGGGGTAGCTGCTTTGAGCAAGGGTTCGAGCGAACTATCAATCTCCCCAGTGGCTTTGCTCATTCGCAGATACGCAGAAAATCCCTGACTAACGATGAAGTGAGCTTCCTCACTCGCTAAAGACTGCGAGGGCTTCAGCGCAAGCTTGAGTTTCCTCAACAATAACTCTGCGATGGGGCCAATTGTAGAAGGCCGAACTGTGGTTGCCTCTAGGACACGAAGAAGAGCCGAGTATTTAGGTAGGCATTTGTCCCGCCATGTTTTTGGGTCTTTATCGTATCCGCTTGAATTCCCTTGCTCGGGGAACGGGGAAATCTCTAGGCGTTCGAACTTGGTAACAATCTGATCCTGCCATGATTGTGGGAGAGAAAAACTCTCAGGTTCTGTGACCGAAGGCAGGGCACGGGATTCCACCATCCGCGGTAGAAATATGCATAACATTTCCTCGTTGGAACCCTCAGACCAATGTGTCACAATGAACCTATCCTATGCATTAGCAACTGAATATGGTAGGGAGATGGAGACGACTTACTTTTGGAATGGCTTCAGTAGGAGGCTACGGAATTTAGTAGGATCTAGATCAGAGAAATAGGAACAAAATGGTATGAACCATCTCATCAGAGGCTCCCGAGTCATAACGTTTACGAAATCGGTAATACATGGAATGATAGAGTCCATCTTAGCCTGTTGCCAAATGATGGCTATATTGACCATGAGTTGCTGCCATATAGCAGATGAATCAATATCTTCGAGGTTATTTGGGGCTTTCGAGAGCGCTTTGAGGGACTCCAATAAGCAGTTGAGAACCGTCGACCAGTCTCTAATTCGACTACCTTTTCGAACACCGCATATCGTTCCCATAATCCTAACATAAAGGCAATTTCGTAACGGATAGCTAACACGACCCTCGTCTTTAGCCGCAATATCTGCTATGAGTTGTGGAATAGGGTTAAACGTTTCGGCAGTCGTATGATGAACAGTACTAACAAGTACACCGCAAACAAGGTCAGTCCATGTTACTGGATCTAAAGAAATACATTCATTATCAGGAATAGATGTGATGAGCGATTTGATAATCTCGGGCCCGTTCGTATGGATAGCGTATCCTTGGCCTTTAATAGCCTCCGCAAACATAGTCATAAGTCCATGATGATATAGTCCAAATTGTCGACTATCCCTACTACCTTCGAGATCCAGTCTAACGTGTTCAATTAGCAGAGGCAAGGCTTTCTCTCGGTTTGCGGGCGCGGCAGCTTTCTTAACGAGGAAGCTTAACGCTTCGGCGGCGAATCGAGCAATATGGGGAGGATTTCGAGCTTTGCCCAGTAACGGCGCCAAGGCGTCAAAGGTTGGGCGGATATCTGGTACCAAGAGCTTCGACAGATACTTGAAGAGAAAGGCTAAGCAGCCAAAGGTCCATTCCGTAACTGCGGCATCTTTGTGTCGGCTCGCGATCCCAGTGATTAGGGACAGAGCAGTTGGGTAATGCTTCTCAAAACGGGTGCCCAGATCGTGTGCCAAGGCCGTAAGTAGATCTAGGAGAGGTTCTAGGGACTCCGGGTCGTGCATTGATATGTATTTTGCCAATAACTCCATGATCTTGTCCTCGAAATGTAGAATCTGAGGCAGACTATCGCAGAAGCGCCGCACCTCTCGGTGGAAGAGAATAAAAGCCTTAGATACGTTGATATCGGCCCATTTCTCCATACCATTTCGAAAGTACGAAGTAGTTGCTTCGAGGTCTTCGGTTTCGAGGTCATGTCGTCGTACTCTTCGGAGAGGATCGAGAGAATGTAGCTTGGAGATCTTCGTAGTGAAAGACTCCCATCGATGATTCTTTTGGTGAGGAGTCCCTCCCCCCTTTCGGGAGGATTTTACTATACGTCCCGATTGTGTTGAGCGCATCTTGGCTACCAATTCCCCGTTGAGTATAAAAAAGGGAAAAGGTGCTCGCTGCTCTTGCAATTAGTTTGAATGTTTTAGGTAGAACCTATTCTTTGCCCCACTGCAAATCGCATCGCGAAAGAGAACGCAGCAACCTTGTAACTTTTTTTTTTGCGAGACGCTACGATAACACGATAACACGATAAGAAGATAAGAAGATAAAAGATAAGACCTTTGATAGGCTTGGTTATCGATATATCTTATCGTAGCTTCGACGCATGTAACCTCTTATCCTTAGCTGCAGTTTATGCAACATGTAACTTGATCTCATCTTCATCGCAGATTGAAACAAGCCAATTAGAGGTCGCGATTTAGATAGCTTCCAACCCGGCTTGCCTATCTCAACTCATATGCTATCATGGCAGCTAAAATGTAAGTGGACTGTTCCAGTGACTGTGAATAAGTTAACTTCTAACATATATAAGCATTGTCCTAGGCAGCATCAATGGCAAGTTTGAGTCTGTCTTTCAGAAGCTCGCGACTTTACACCAAAAGCAGAACTTCTCCTTCGCCATCATTACGGGCAATCTTTTCAGCGCCGATCAAGATGACGATACTATCTCGCGACTTCTCAACGGCGAGATTCAAGTCCCTCTCTCAACTTATTTTACCATAGGGACGACTCCATTACCTAGCCAAGTCGTCGAGCGCGTCGAGAAAGGTGAAGATGTACGTTCGCAGCACCTCATCCCTCCTTCCAAATTGCGCAATACCTTATTACCTTATGATTTTAGTAGAATTAACTAAACTCATATATCCAGGTCTGCGAGAATCTTCATTTCCTCGGCAAGAGAAGTGTTACTAAAACGTCAGACGGAATTCGAATCGTAGCATTAGGTGGTATTCTCGACACTACCATTATCGGCGGCCAGTCCAAGGAGCAGCATCTTCCTCTACATACTGCCGACGACGCCAAAGTGTTACGTGGCGCGAATGCTACCGATATACTGCTTACAACCTGCTGGCCATCTAAAGTATGGACAAACTCGAGCAAGGCTTTAACGCCTGAAGAGCAATCCTTCATCACAAGCACCAACGAAATCGCCGATCTATGCGCCACTCTTAAACCGCGTTATCATTTCTCAATGTCGCCTGCCGACTTCTTTTACGAGCGTGAGCCTTTCTTCCACCCACCGAGTAGCCCCGACTCCGACCAAAAGCCTGTCACGCGATTCATCTCGCTTGCCTCATTCGGCAATGCGGCTAAGGCGAAGGCTATGTACGCCTTCAATCTCGTCCCCGGAGAGGTACCTTCTGCGATTCCTCCTGGCAGTACTGTCTCCCCTTTTATTGTTAGGGCCAATACGAGAAAACGGCCAAATCCTACGGACGACCGGACTAATGGCCACGATCACCACGGCGGTCGTCGTGTCCGCCGTCGAAAAGATCGATCACCCCCTCCCGGTCCAGATCGGTGTTTCTTTTGTCTTAGCAACACCGACGTAGACACGCATATGGTCTGTGCTATAGGAGATGACGCTTACGTCACTACAGCCAAAGGCCCATTGCCCAGTTCTGATACATTTGCTTCCTCCGGACTCTCCTTCCCGGGACACCAGCTTATCATACCCCTCCCTCATGAGCCCACCATCCGCTCAATGGGTGAAGACGCTCATAAGACTTATCAAGAAATGGTGCGTTTCAAAGAATCCATGCAAGCTATGGTGGCAACGCAGTCGAAGTTCAAATTAGGCGCAGTGACGTTTGAAATTAGTCGACAATCCGGTATTCACGTCCATTGGCAATTCATACCCATTCCTTCGGAGCTGATTCGAAAGGGCCTCGTCGAAGCTGGATTTAAGGTGGAGGCTGAAAATCGCCAGTTTCCACCTTTCGAGGAGACAGCTCTGGAGTCTGGCATTGACGAGACCTCCGACTTCTTTCGTCTCTGGATTTGGTCCGACGATAGTGACACCGGCATCCAAAGCAAGGAGTTGGTAATGCGCTTTGATAGTAATATGCGCTTTGACCTCCAGTTCGGTCGCCGAGTCATAGCGAAGCTCCTTGGCCTCGAAGACCGGCTTTATTGGCAAGATGTCGTTCAGTCTATCGTAGAGGAGACCCAGGATGTCGAGAAATTCAAGGAAGCATTTAAGCCTTGGGATTTCACTCTAGCATAATCCGGTTAGCATTTTCGGAATTGGCGTTGGTGGCTCGCAAAAGTTTTATACCCTGTTCTAAGTTTTTACTCTACGGAGTCCAAGTGAACGTCGCAGAGTTACAAAAGGTTATAACTATCGTTTATTATGGTCGACCACATATATATCGATGATTTATAGTATATGGCTTGGTGGTGGGCCTATCATTTGGTGCATATGATCATAGTTATGCTGGTAGCCGGTTATCATGACGCCTACCTACGATTCCAAGCATCATGGCGAAGAATTTACCGTTCCAAATATTCATATAATATATAGTTTACGATGTACTTGATCGTCACATCAAAAGGATCGTCTAATCATAGAATAATAGGCAACTTAAATACGCAGACAATCGTCAAATTGATCTCTCAAAATTTACCGCGCTGAACGTTGCGTTGCTAGTTTTCCGCGTCGCCAATATCCAATTTATTCGCTTCATCACGAAACTTCTTTCGTAGCCGACGTTGATGCCACCACGCAAGCGCACATACAATGCCGACCACAACTACGGCTGTGCTACCAGTCACTATCCACCAGCGCCGTGCCGCCTCTATGTCTTCGGCAGTGTTATCGCTGAGCACAATGTACGCGTCTGGGTCGCTCAGCCTAGGCCAATATCTCACCGGTACCTATCCACGGCGTTAGTCGAACACTTCGTGATGGGGGGATGTCCATTTATCCCAATTTTATGAGGACAGCCATGGCCTCACCTTGCAAGCGCAGCTTCGATAGACGCCCACCAGCTGCATAGTAGTACCGCCCACCGCCGCGAAGATAGCAAAGAATCCCACGAAGACTTGTCCCCACCAGCATATCCTCTTTGCGATCGGGTTGGTCTCGGACCACTGCGTGCCGTACTGTATCCTCAGCCGTGCGGCACACGTCCACAAAGCCATCTCACATACTTGGCTGATAGCGTAAACAAGATAAGTCAGACTACGGCAGGACAGTCCGGCTTGAGGTGTATTGTAAGACGTCAGAAATGCGAGACAGCAAGGCGCTAACACTGCGAACAAGGCTCCGACCAGAACATACAAGCAATCGTGCCAATTCATCATGAGAGCCTTGCGCAGCTCGTCGGGTGATGTTCTATCGCCACTCCGGTATTCAGAAGAGAGCGCGTACTCGTTAATCGCCTCCTGAACCCATTCGCGCTTGTTGAGACCTCGCTTCCATAGCTTAACCGTGCGAAATCTACCTTCGAAGGCTGTTTCGACTGGATTATATCCTTCCATTTGTTTAATAACAAAACCGATACCCTTATATGCCTTGATGTTCTTGAGGTACTGTGCCCAGAAGCTCAGCTCGTAGTCGTCTATCGGGGCCGTAATGCCACCATCGTACACAATACCGTCGAGTGTACTGGGACTATTTGATGCCAGCATCGCACAGGACTGTAGCATATATAATCAGCAGCGACAAACAGGGCGTCTACCAAAACAATTTCATCGGCTCAGATATATCTTTTACTCCACGCGTGAGTATCTTCGCCAAAGCAAACGCAGGAATGTCTGACGATTTAAGAATGTGTACACATACAATTATAGCGAGGTAAGGAATCACCATCCACCCTAGATAGTTCATATAAGTCATTAGTACACAGCAAGCGACTAAATGATAATAGTTCAGAACAGCTACTCACACAAGCCAAACGCGAGAGCGTGGGCGGTATCATTATCCCCCAGGTTATTATCCGCGTCGAGTACTGTATACACGAAACCGCCCAGGAAGAACAATACTGGTGCCCCTACTGTCGATCCGAAGCTACACCCAAAGTCAGTCCTCTCCATAGAACCAAAGTCGGTCGATTATCACCTTGCTTGGGAGTTGAGGAGCGCCTTGAGTTTAGTCGACAAAGACACAAACTCCCCACGATGTCGACCGTTCACCTTCGACGCCTCGTATTCGTCAACCATCACCATGACCCTCTTCCAGACACTATTATACACCAGTTTACTCGTTTGGCGCTTTGTAAGTGGCGGGATCGCTTCCAAATCACTAGAGACGGTACTATTATAACGATTATTATCCACTTCCAGTTCATCTCTCTCGAGGGTAGCCATTCGAATATTCCCAACGACTATAGACAGCAGCAACTGAGCCCTCAACCGTACAGACATAGGCGGAGGACTACCATTAGGCGGGTCCATAAATTCCAATATCTTGCGATCGAGCGCGTACTCGTACACAGCGCTCAGCAGCATCGGACCCGCGAAGGCGAAGCAGATCCCAAGCCAGACCACCGTGTCGAGAGTCATGAGCACAACTGCGCCTAGCAGCCGAATCCAGTACGTCAGGAACCCGACGAGCGTGCGCGGGTGGGCGCGAAACACAAAATCCGGGATGGCCAGTCTATGGGTGCGCGGGACGTTGGTGCAGAATGCCAAACTTGGGACGATAAACTGCACCAAGGGGCCGATCCACTGCTGCATGGCATTTGCGTGTGATATTTCCCATCCCGGACACTGCTTCGTACACCAGTAGAACGGGATGCGGACGACCGGAGCGCCATCCATGTTGCCGTTAAAGGTCGCGCCGCAAGGAAACTCGTCGTTTTGGATCGCGGTCTCGAAATCCTCGATTGAAACCCCCGGTGCCACGAAGGAGGCTTGCGAGTAGGATAAGTTCCCGTCGGAGCGGACTACTAGCGATTCGTTCAGCGCCAGGAGGCAGCAGTGCGTGAAGTTCTGACCCCCTAGACCGATCGGTAGAGAGCTTGGAGGGTTGTGCGTGAGACCCGCTAGCTGGGGGATTAGATCTCCTATATTCATTTCAAATAGGTATTCGTATTTAGATAAGATGCTAAGTTAGAGAGCTATAATCTAACTAGCAGAGGTTATCTCTCGGGGAATGATTCCATAATTATGCAGTACTCGTGAGAGACTGGATTAGAAAGAATCAAGGTCTCCCCCCCCTCCCCATCGGGTAGATGCGTTAGGTAGGTATCAACACGTGTCTCAGGCTGGATTCTAATATATAGTCGTAGGTGTCGAGAGCGGTGTATGCACTTCTACATGCTAATCACGGAAACTGCCGAGTTAGAAGATGGCAGTTGGGGTTTGAGTGGCGTTCTACGTGTCTTACGATACGCCGACCCTCGCAGAAACAATATGCATAGGAAAACAAACCGGATGAGAGGTGTACTCCTAGTTTGCCCAATGGCGTTCTTATGATAAGTAAAAGACACGTTAGTACAGTTATCTATTATATTGTTTTGGTTTACTTATCTAAAACATCCCAAGACTCGTTGTTCCTTATTATTACTTCCTGTCGAACAAACCGCTATACCACTGAAAGGTTATTTGGCAACAGATTTTATTCTATTACATTTAATATATCGGACAGATAGTAATAATATCTGGCACTTCCCCAACTCCAAATATTCTCCAGCTATGCAAAGCAGCGCTATTTCTAAGCTCTTGTAGATTCCACAGTTACCATACGTAGTACCTAACCTACGAAAACGGGTATTAAATTTTTACGCGCGCTTAATTCATTTTCAATAATATTTAAGGGGTTATGAGTTATATTACAGTATTACTACTACTATCTGATAGCCCCGTAAGACGACATACACTTACCCTGTAACAACATCTTATATACAACATGACATTTTTACACAAGGGCTGTGCCATGACGATGTTACAGTTTTGTGCTATATAACGGCCGGTACCGTGACAGTTTAGAGCGTCGGGTAGTCTTGCTCGTATACGTGGATCGCATCTTCAAACAAACCACTCAAGTATAATCTTCCAACAAGACTTCATAGTAAGTAAAACCGAAGCTTAAGTAGTATATATATCACAGTATTTTCCCCAATTTTAGGCACTCACAGAACATCCCACACTATAACACTTTTATTTACAGCATAACTAAGACTTACTACATCATCACAGATATCTTTTAAAAGCTTGCAGTTTCTCCCCAAGGTCTTCACTCAGGGAACATGCCTCCAACAAATTATACCTCCAACCACAACGGCCAGTCTATCAGCTCCAGCGAGACGACATATAGTTGCGCGTGTAGTCACTGTTCATGTACCGAAAAGGTCGCCAACCTAGGCGATAGATGCAAGTATTGCATGTTGTATCTTAATATATCTTTTTCTCTATATTTTATGTACCTTAAGTACCTCCCAACTTAGATTCATAAAAGAAGTATTTATTGAACTACGTAATAAAGCTCTTCTCTATCGTCTTGCTAAGTTGAAGAAGCCATCATAATTAATAAGATTTCGTAGTTGTATACGGCAGTTATCTTTTAACGTTCTAGAATTATAAACATTAAGTCAGTTCATGTGTAAAGGCCAGTGATCAATCTATAAATACCCAGGTACCTAACCTTAGGTAATGCTTCTTAAAGCCTAGGTACCTCATAATCAACTAGATAAAATATATATTAGTCACCTAACATAAGACACCACGTGTACCCGTACCTTCCTTCTACTTATCTCGGTAGGCTAGATATGTACCTACCTAGGTAGGCAATCAGAATTATGATCATGGCTAATAGCAACTGGCAGTCGGCAATTCCTAAGGATTCGCAACTGCCACCACAGCAACAAGGCTTTTTAGGCTTCTTGTTGGCAGGTGATCTACGTCACGGTCGTGAGTCACGGTTATAGCATCAAGGGAAGGAACGAGGTCCCGTAGTCCTTTTAGATTTAGCAACGCACCCGTAACACAAGACCACTTCCACGCTTCTATTATTTCTTTCTGTAAACCTGTAATTCAGGAGATAAACCTTGATCAATTACAGCTTTAATCAATACAATTTTATTCAACCCCTTCTTAGTTAAATGCTCTTTATTTATCCTCAAACTGCTTGCTGATCTTCAGGAGATCAGCCCCTCACCAAACAGCACGGGAGTTCCGAAGAGTTCTCTCTCCCGGCGATACGATGAGAAGGGTCTCGTAGAAGTGGACGGGCTCAACGAGAAGTGGCATATCAAAGGTCACAATAGTCCTTACGCGCCGCAGGTGCCCAAAGTCGAGGCACGGGTGCGATCAGCACGTCGACACCTACTAACGCTAGCGAGAAAGGCTATCGAGGCTGGGAAAGACGATGCGCATATCGTGGTTATAACCCACGGCGAGTTCGCGCATTGGCTCACAGACGATTTCCAAGGCGTGACCGAAACCAGCAACTCGGGCTGGCGTAGCACAAACGCGAATTTACAATTCACTTTTTCTCTTACCACTCAGAGAAAATTTAATATCTACCTCTAAACATCTAAACACATTACCCTGCTCACTACTAAAGCCTCATCTTTACATCATGGCTGTTCATCGCCAATGAGACCACATGCGATGAATCATTTACCATGAAAGGCAACCTAATCCATACAACCTAATCCACTGGAGCTCCACGAAATGCCAACGAGGCTTCGTACGTCAAAGGTGTGCAGGCCTTGGTAACCAGACCTCGGAAGCACGAGACCTTAAAGACCAGGCGAAGATAGACCGGTAAATGACCGCTCTTGAGAATCAGCAAAGAGAGGTAATAAGACGTCTACAAGACCAGCTTGACGAGCAGAAGGAATTCCCTGATAGCTTCACGACGGAACAGCTGGAATTGTGTCAGGAATTAAACAATCGAGACAAGGAACTTCGCGAATCGCGCAGTGGAAGCATCATCACGCATACGAATTCCTTCAAATGCTAATAAAGCGCTGAAGGCATTCATTGGCACCAACATGGACACTACGGTCGACTATAGCGAAGAGCAGAAAAATTCCTTGGATGATCTGCCAGAATTTATGTGGGATTACGGAGGTAAACTTCGTCTGACGATAGAGGAATGGCAAGAAGCGAAGAACGGATATACCGATTCCGAGATCCTAACAGCCGTGCGGGAAGCACGCTGGAAAGGTAGAATTAAAGATCCTCAGTTACGAGGAAGAGCGTACGGAAAAAAATCGCTTCGGTCTTGACGATGCAAAACTCGTCAGCAAGACTAAAACACCGACCCAATACTGGACCAAGATTCTGTTAGAACACAAACCGAGAACTCACTACAACCTAGACAAAGTTATCCAGTATTTAACTGGACACCATGTTGTCCCAACAGTGGCTAAACTATACCCAGTATTCCTCAAAACACCACGCATTTCTCCATCCCACTACAACATTTTATCCTAATCCAACGTCTCATGAGTGCGATAGCGATTACGTCTTCGTATAAGTCTGTGCTGAGACACTGCGGACACCGCCGTACATGTTCTAGGCAGTTCAGCCGGTTCCTCCGGGCAAGATGACTCCAAACCACGGAGACGGGCCAACCAAGGATACGTTGCTTCCAGCTTGATAGACTAAGACAATTACCAGAGCATTCCATACTTTCAGCCTCCTTCGACAGGCTGGATAACAGGTGCAAGGTGCAACAAACCCACAACTTATAAATGCCCTGGCATATGACTCAATGTGCATACGTATTAGGTTCGGCGTCAAATAACTCTACTGATAACGAGGACAGCAAATGCGCTAACAGCGAGCTCAACAATGAAAACGGTGGCTCCTCTTGCCAGCGTAATTTTTCATCCTCAAACAAGGTCCCGAGAGATCATTACATGCGACTGCACAAGCACCAGAAGAGACTGGAATCACAGAACATATAGTGTTCCATATGAGGGCAAAGAACATTATCCAAGATTGCAACTGAATATCGTCGGATGGCGTTGTCACCAGTACTGTGCTGGACTATGGAGTGCGGCCATGAGTCCTAGGGCTTGGCTACTACGTGGTATATTATATTGTCATAACTAAGTTAGGACAGTGGGCTAACCAAGATTCAGATGGGTATTAAAGCATCGCGATAGCGTTGAAGAATGACAGTACATCGGGGCCTAACTCGCTTAGATATCTGAGGCTGAAGTGGACTGAATGAGAGTGAATCCCCCTACAGTGCGGTTTAACGAACCCGTAGTGATTGAAAGCAGAACCCCAGGTGCTGCGAACCTGTCTAGAGTTCCGAAAAATAGTGCTTTCAGGTGCTGCGGCTGGATCGAGTAACGAGAGCCAGGAGCTTGGGGGAAGGGTTGATTTACAAAGCTCGAAGTGATTACACTCGCGATTCAAATCCACTTACGGACGAGTGGAAGTCAATAAACATTATAACTAGAAAGACGTTGCGACTACGCGAACTTCTAAAATAGTCATTAGTCCTCTACTCGGTAGGATCCCAGATGTCGAAGACGGTCCTCCTAGGGGGGTCCGGGGTCCGAGAGGTAAAAAGCCGAGACGACAAAGTCGATAGTACATAGGGAAATACATAGATTAAACCAGTGTGAGGAACTCAGATAGCTTTACGACGACGACAATAGAAATGATTCCCGTACAGGTTAGGCAGTCAATAGGCTTCCTACATACGTGTCTTCACATTCATTCTCTTCGCTATCCACCTTTCGCATCCTTCCACAATATATGCCCCGCCCCCTTTTACTAGTCCCGCAACTCATTTCTCAGCAATACGTACGCGAAATCACCACGCCCAGGTTACGCTTCAAGCAGAAAAGGGGGTTTCTACAAATATTACTATATTCGGTATCTTTGAATACACTATATACCCGGATATACCCACCCATTTGGCTAATGCAAATCTAAGTTGGTTGCCTGGTTGCCTAGTTAACAGGTACAATAACCCAGACGTATGTAAACACATTCTTACGATTCCCCTTCTTGCTGCTGCTGCTGTTGTGATTGTTGCTGCTGCTGGGCATTTGCCGCGTGGCCCATTCCCCAATTAACCCAGTCGGTGAAGAAGAACCCCGGTAGCTTGAGCGTGCCCTTTTGGCACTCGGTAAACGTCTGCGCGTACAGCGCATTGATGGCCTCGACGTGATCCCCGGCGGGGGCAGCGACAATAAGGCTCGATGCGACGAGTAAGCTAGCCGTCGACGCCGCACGGCCGTAGGCGTGCGCTGCATCCTTAGCTGCCTGTTGGTGGATCTCGCGCATCAGCGCGAGTTGCGCCGCGGCGTCGAGTTCGTGCTTGTTGTCGCCGCCGGCGGCCCGTGCCTTCTTGAAGGCTTTGGAGAAGTTTTCGATAGCCGCGACTGCCTTGTTGGCGAGAGGCTTGGCGGTGGTGCTGTGTACGACTTCTAGGAGCGGGAGGAGGAGGCTGAAGGCTAGTGGGTTGGCAGCCTCGTGCTTGAGGTAGAGAGCGACGAAATCGAGGATGCGGTGCTTGAACATGATGACGGATTCTTTGGCGTCCTTCTTCTCCTTTTTCTTGCCTGTGTTCTTCGCCCTCTGCTTGAACACCTCGACGAGCTTGTCGTCCAGCGCCATCATCTCGGAATCTGTCATGTCCGAGTCGTTATCTGACGATTCGGCCTCTTTATCTTTGTCCAAGCGATGGCTTCCTAGGACCTTTGCGAGAGCGTCGTCAAGATCCGCAAGCTCTTTAGCATCCGCCTCGCCTTGCTGATCATCATCATCCTCTTCCTCTTCCTCTTCGTCGTCAGCCGTTGCCTCGGCGCCATTTAGAGCAACAAATTCAACGTCGGAACCAAGTTCCGAGATTTCGTCCTCGTCTATGTCCTCAGCTTCATCTTCAGACCCTGACTCTTCACCGTCGTCCATTTCTACGTCGTCGTCCTCGAGGTTTTCAAACAGGGCTTGATATCCTTTCTGATTTTCTTCCGCGAGAAGCGGCTCAGTTAGAAGCTCAAGAGCTTCGGAAGAGATCTGCGAAGTGAATGCCTCAAACACCTGCTCGCTAATCTGCCGCATCATTGGTGACTGTCGAGAAACTAATGCAAGCAATATCTCCACCAGAAGTTCAGAGCTACCACCTTCCTTGCTCTTCATCTTCTCGGAACATCTCTCTAGATCCTGGAGGATACTAATAGCATCCGGTGCTCCGTCATATAATTGTAATATCGTAATAGCATATAGCAGAGCAAGGCCAACCGAAGCCCCAGCATTCTTGCTATCTGATTTCTTGCTCGCTTTCAGTAGTTTTCGTATGGCTTTCAGTGCGCTATCTCGTTCAGCCTTTATCTCATCACCCATATTCACTGCTGAGGACTCGACAGAGATAACCGCGTTGCAAAGATATTCGGCATCATCTCGACGTCTCATTACCTTTCCGATAGTAGACGCGAGTAATCTACGAAACGTCTCTCTTGATTTCTCCGATAATTCTGGTTTGAACTGCTTTTGTACAGAATATGCACATGCTGCTAGCTCTTTTACGCCAAGCTCGGCGACATTCGTACTCTCGTTATCGCTCGAGGCTTCGGACGCGGGCTTCGCTTGGGTGGCCAATTTAGACACGTAACCGGCATACACCTGTCTAAGCTTTTCGACATCGCTGGCTGCACCATCGTTCGCAACCACGGGATCTCGAAGAAGCTTAAGAACAGTCTTCGCATTATCCGGAGTGGCCCACTGCAGCAGGTTCTCGATAGTCTTAGTATTCGTTCGCTGATCGAAGTCGTAAGCCCCAGCTTTTCCGATTAGCTCGTTTAGGACTAGCAACAGGAGTTCTGGCGAGGCCTGCACAGCTTTCTCGATCGATTGGAGACTTTTCAGCGCAGCCCGATGGAGATATCGATCCTCCTTGGCAGCTTGGTTCATCAGACACTTCATTAAATTCCGAGTAAACAGTTCCTTAGCAAAGTTTGCTTTTCTTGTCGCAAACCCAAGGAGGAACTTTTGAAATATGACGAAGCCCCGAAACTTTTGCGCGTCAGAAGCATTCTTGGAGAAAAGACTATCTGGGATTTTAATTAGAATAGGTAGTCAATGCGTCACGCTTTAGAAGTACTTACCATCAATGACGGTGGTCCAGAATAGTTTCAGCTGGTCTTTGCCCTGCTTTCCGTCTGTCTCTTGACTGAGGAATGTTGCGAGTAAAATATCCCAAACAAAATGCAATTGGGCACTCCATCCGCCTTGCTTGGTTTTGACAATCGCTGCGTCCTCTCCGTTATCCTGTGCCACGTTATCCTTCAACACCCGAGCCACTTCGGACAATACACTCGGATTCATAGGATCATGCCAGGGTTTTGCTGGTGTTTTCAGGTTAGGATAGCAACTTCGCGCCTTCACCCAGATACCAATGCCCTCTGCGGTTTTGCCAAGCCCAATATCAGACAATTTCTGGAGTGTTGCCTCTGCTCTGTCCTGTCCCATCTGGGGCAGCGATTCCACGATAACCCATCCGCAATGCGATCTCATCCAGACTTTCTTCTCGGCCATATTTAACAGCAGATCCAAGACTTTTAGCCATCGCGATTCTTCATCGAAAAGAGTCTTGGACTCTACAAAACATTGTAAACCGAAAAGTCGACCGAAGTAATAGTCCCTCTCCTCCTGCCCAGGAATATTCCCGCTGGAGGTTGTTTTTTCTACCAGGATATTCAGCACCTTATCGAACGTTAAGCCAGTGTATTTTGACTCGGCGAGGTTCTTGGGACCGAACAGCTGGTTCAGGATTTCTGCTATTACAAGGCTGAAGCCCACTCGGGATGCATTACGCGAGCTCGCAAGGCCACGGAATAGACGATTATCGAGATGCCTTTCAAGTGCGGCTTCCGAGGAAACCAGAAGTCCGGTCACGAGCGCATCGGCGGCAGCAATTCGTTCGTCGCTATCGGCACTTCCAAGCAATTCGTATACCTTGGCTTCTCGTTTTCGAGCTTCGGTATTGAGGGTTTCCGTAAAGGGGGACTTTTCTAAGTCGAGGTTGGGAGCTTCGGCACCATTTGACAGAGACTGTTCCGTTTTTGCGCGCTTCTGCGTAGGTTGGCTGCCATTGGGACCGGCCTTGTTGGCACTGCGCTTCCTTTTGCTCATTGTGAAGAAGATATTCGAGGTATTATTTCTAAAGGATGTGTACAAAAGGGTAATTCAGACTATGTTTGATTGATTTTGTCAATTGGTCTAGTTTCTATAGTAATATCATAGCAGCATGCGCTGAGGACATCGATGTTATTAAATTCCGAGTTAGGTACAACTTTTTTTTTTTGACGATAAGATTCTGATAAGATTTTGATAAGATCTCGATAAGATCCTGCCACTTTTCGCAGCTCTAAAACTCCAAATATAGCAGGCGGTCAATTAGTGTTAGCTAGCTTGCACTCACCCCACCATTCTAAGATGCGCTAGTGTGGGTTAGGTGCATTTACGCGTCGCGTAAAACTGACGTGAACTAATTTCGTAAAGTACATTTTGACGTCATATCCACACAAAAACACGAGGCTCTTATTCTTCCCTGCCCGAAAACAATTCAATGAAGTTACTCTCGTTAATATCGGAACTTGGTACTTAAAATTTAGGTGGTGGTTGTTGTAAATTCTCTTTCTATCTAGACCCAAATTCAAGTGTCAAATATGTCGTATTTAGACTACCTGACTACTAACATTTAAGCTAGGAGTCACATTACACAACCTCTTCACAGTCTATTAATATCCATCCCAGCAAACAGGTACCTATCAATATCACTACCAATTGTCAACTTAGCTCTACGATAGCGCCTATGTACTTAAGCCAAGTTTATCAGTAGTATATTCCGGTAATGTGGTAAATTTAGCTTTCAATAGTTCCTTTTCGCCTCGTTCTTGTAGGGATTCTCGTGGGTGTGATCGGCCCTTCGGTGCTGATACTCAACGCATGCTTTCTAAGTTAAATTATCATGCGGGGCCCCCTCAGTAGACCTGCGATGAGGTCATATATGCTATGTGAGGCTGTCGTCGCATATGATGGAGGCCACATAATCCACCTATGTATCTCAGTATTTAACACCAAACCGTGTTGCCCTGATTATATCGTAATTAGATGGCCCGGAATTGGGCAGATGAGTGTTGCTTATCCAGGTTGCTTCAACTACCAGCCAGTGCCCTTGTTAAAGGGAGAAGTTTGAGTCAAGGTACTGTCGGACAGTTTCCGATAGGTACCTGTTAACTAGTTAGAGCTTCAAGAAGTATAAGTGGATACTATTTATATCAAGAGACAGGCATAAGGATTACTGTGTCATAGTTCTTGGCTGAGGTTATAATCTCCCTCTACCTAAATTTATTAAGGCAATGGCGACACAGATACCGAGACAATGCAGTCGTAAGCCAGGCTCCTATTAAAATTAACGCCAATGTTTAACAGTGAGTAAGACAATAGATATTTAAGTACCTAATATAGGATTACTTATAAGAATTACCTATGATAGCGTCATATAAAGCCGTCATTTTTCAATTACAAATGAAGACCGGTGATGAGCCCAAAACTGTAAATAAGGTTCAGTACCAATGACAGAGAGTTTGATCAATGGAAGGATATTGGAAATGGAAATTATTATGACAGCGTTTTATCTTGGTATAGATGCCACTGTTAGAATAAAACATGTTATCTTTGAAATATATCACTGACATTGTATAAGGATACAACAGTTGCCTGAACATATGCATGAGTATCATGGTAATCTTAAGTTAATGCATATAACTACCTAGGTTTAGAGACATTATTTGGCCGAAGTGTTTGATGGAACATACAGGTAATATAAATAATATGTTGGAAATTAAGTAGATTATTCGAAGTATCAATAATTCATGAGCAATGCGAGGTTAATACCGCTATTACACTTATCTACGGGTAGGTATCTAATATAATGATCTTGAAATAGAACTTATAGTTGAGGCTAGCTATACATTTAATTACGCAGTCTTATATTCGAATGGAAAGCAGGGGAACTGGTGATGTCTCCTACTAGAACATGCATATTATATCTAGCTATACAACTGATGTCAACCCTGGTAGTTGTTGATCTTTCTATGATTACGAGACCGTAGAGCATATGCCATATCTTACACCACAAATTTACTCCGGTCTCGTTCAGTTGCTACGTTGAGTTCCATATATCTAAACTAACGTAATTGGCCAAGGCAATTTTCAGCCAATGGAATGTTGAACAGTTACCTACACATGGGTCTTGGTGAAAGGCGCATCTATTGAGATTATAATAGTTTTATATCCCCAAATCGAGCTGCTTAAAACATTGATCGGCGGTTATTGTAAAGCGACAAAGTTTGGTGGCATTGTAATTAGGGGACTCGGCCCGTTCCATTACGCTCATGGGGCTACTTGAGGCTCTGGGTAGTATAGCGCACGGAAATCACACCACTAGAACCTGTCGAAATGCAGCAGAAACACAAGCACCTGCGCCTTTTTTCTTTTTTTCTTTCATGAACCGTACTCACCCAGAAGCAGCTTACTCTCCCGCGTTGGGGAGTCGCATCCTACCGGCATGTGATCAAACGGCGCATTTAATCAGGATTCCCGAATCCTAAAGGACCCGAACTAACCGCTCCGAAAATTTAGACAGTTCAATACATGCGAAGGATCGAATGATTTAATAGCCTACCATATCTCTCCCATAGTCCTCTTGAATTGCAATGACTTGGACGATGTTAACGTTGATGGTGTATATAAACTACTAAGCCGGTCGGTGCCGTAGATATATGGGCCTGGCCGCCCGCGCTCGGGATAAAGGGATAAAGGGAAGAACGGTGCATGATATCTGATGACGATATTATGCGGCTCTAATGGAAACATGGTACATATTTCGTATTGGAAGAAGGCTAAACAAGATTTTCCGATTATCTACGACCCATTCGCATGGACTTGGTCGTTTCAGACGCTGTGGCAGTCAGGTGAGATGGGTTGGCTGTGTGAATTGAAGTCCGTCGAAACGGGCCAATCGGTGATCCTTAGTCTAGCCGTTATTGGTTCCAGGAGAGCGTAATAATAAAGTCGATCGCATCTGGATGGCCCATAGTCTCAGACGCCCCAGGGCTGTAAGGTTGCATAGGATTTCGAAAATGCAACTCTAGAGATCCGAGCTCCCCCTGTCTTTTGCCCGCAGCTTTAAGCTCTTTACAGCTTAGCTACCCCTCGTGATATCGTGAGGGGACATGGGTAAATGTTTACAGTGACACGCGAGCTTGCGCGTTCTTGGTGTTTACTTTTTGTACCTGTTAAACAACCCCTCTTCTTCCCATCTTTTCCCATCTTCCCATCTCCGCATCTCGGCGGACACTTACGGGCTGACGGGTAAACCCCCCTTGCTAGATATCAAACAAGCTCGTGCAATCTGAATCACACACCAATTATTTGATCACAGTCGTATTCGACTTGTTGGCGGGTCCTGTTAAATAGAAGATGGCACCATGTGTTGTCTCATTAGAAATAGCCGCTTATTCTCCTGACTTTACGAATCGCTAGTGGCTTAAAAGGTGTTCTATTCAGTAGGTGTTCTAGATTAAAGGGTTTTTTATCTAAGGGATTACCTAGTCCGGAGGTAGGACTTCTCTTTTTTTTACGATAGCTGATGGTATCACTACCTAATAGGCGCCTTGGGGTTCGGCGATAGTAAGCGCGAGGTCGGCAAGGCAATCTGACCATCTCATTGGGTCTTCAGCTGCTTTCTTCCCGGACTACTTGTGATTCGCCTTACCATGCTTGTTGCTGCACAGTTATGCAGGTCATCCGAAGGCGGTCAGCACGACAGCACCCGATTATGTATGAAATGTAAACAATCAACAGTGATCAAGATCTCAATATCTTCGGATCTGGTCTATTGCAAAACGCCGACTACATATTGTAGCGCGCATATGTTTCCGACCGGGCTTCTCGTCGAAGTGCGCTGGTGCGAAACCATTTACATAGGTAGAGACTGACGAGATTTCGGTTGCGCGTAGGTGTGCAGGCCAGTGTAGAGAGCGGCCATGAAGATCCTGCCTTTGTAGGAACACGCAGATGACGTCTACTACGAGCTAGGAGATCGTGGCTCTCAATGTGCGATCGAAGACGGTCCACATACTATCGATTTTGTTTCCCTATTGTTGAAAAAAGCTACCGAAAGGGAGCCGACAAGACAAATCCGGAGTATCCCCAGGTTTAAAAAACTTGTGGTGGCTTGGGGCCGGTGCTGCAATTAATTTATCCTTTATGTGATATATCCAGGGCTTTGCGTTGCCGTAGAGATGGACGGACCCAACATTCGTAATAGGATAATGGATATCGAGTAAACAAAGCCCCCTTTTAAAAGGTTCAAATTAAGGCTTCGTTACCTCAATTTGAGCTTGTGAAAATAATTTCCCCGAGTGAGGCTCAAAGCGTAAGGGGTGTTGCCAGTTGGGAGTCTTTAAAAGTTCTAGAGCTACGGATTACCTAGTTCCTCCACATCGTCGTACAGTACGTCCGCTCGCCTGCGGCCATAGCACCGTAAGCGTCGGTGAGGTTCAAATTTTCAAAATGGACTGATGGGGCTTACGCTTGTTAAGTCCAATCGCTACCGGACACGCCGCAAGTGAGTCTGGGATTGATAATGAATGTCATTTCGATATTGTAAAAAGCACACCATCAGCTACTCAATGCTGTCTAGATAGAAAAAAAGATTCCAGGGCTAGCTAGCGAAAAATACCGATTACTTATTACTTATCGGTGCGGCCCGGAAGAGAGTTCCTTGCCATTTTTCTCCCTCAACGGGTCCCAACACATAGTAATACTATGTAGTGTATGTAGGTAGTGTATGTAGACGACGGTAATCCATGCGTATAGCAAACTAGGGTCGTGCTTATTGCTGCAAGCACCGTAGCAACCATCAGAAGCTAGGTAATAAAGCACAGAAGCCCCGGGAGATCCTTGATCCTTCAGCGCACTGTATCGTGGAACCCCGGAACCCCATTCGAAGCTCCATCGTAGTTAATGTACTACTATTCGCATCTGGTAGAAGTACGATATACCTAGTCGTATATTCGAAACAGAATATCCGACAAAAACATGCAATAGCCTCTCAAGCGACATGGTTTTTCGAGGGCTCATAAGATCTGGGGTAACATAATTGCGTTACTTGACGGCATAGGGCGTAGGTATTGGTGCTCGGCTTAAGATGCTCGGAGACGCGGGTCCGACTACCGGCAAATGGACATGCCGGATTA